CTTTTAACCTTCTTTTTAGGCACGAATCTGTCAAGGTCAGCATTTTAGACACCGCCAAGATACCATAGGAGCAAACTAAATCGTCTAATTAAGTCACCATAGATTTTCCCCATGACTTAACCTAGTGAGACCTTAAATAGTTAAGGAGTCTAGACCACACGTACTGGGGTAATTAATTCTAAACCCGCTCGTAGGGCCTAGATATCAATGTCGTAATCAACTTTAGGGTCGATACGAGGAAGAGAATTTACCTTATCATCCATATAAAAATACTTCTCCAAGGCCTTTGTAGAAGGTCTATTGCGGCATAAAGTTATGTGATATTATCGCCTTCAGTTCTAGGTACCGTACAACAAAGAATATGTGTTGTATTTTAAATTTCCCGCAAAAATATCCCTTTAGGAGTTTCTACTGAAGCTCAATTTAATCAATTCTGTGCTGTTTCCATCTGAAAATTCTAGAATTTCTCTACAATTTAAGCCATCTGAAGATTCTAGCTATCCTATTATGTTAAGAAGTTTGTATCTATAAGTTATCTCATTTAATAGTTAAATAACACAGAAAAATGTATATCAAAACAGGATATGTTTCATTGTATAGCGGACAGGGATAAGTATTTCTGTTCCATTTTTTTCGAAGTTAACTCAATTTGGTCATTTTTTTTCTATGTATATACACGTATAACAGGGTGTGTTTTTACCCTTAATAGAGCCTCATATCACAGTTTCTCAGCTTTTTCAGCCGAAGTTGCGGTTGTAAACCGGTATTTTGTGTAACCCCGCCGACTTAGGAGATTCTTTAGGGAATTTTCTTTCGAAAATTCCACGTTACTATCGCGTTTTTTTCGCCTCTTCCTTTCTGTATTCTGCTCCGTCATCGTCATCATCCATCTGATCGATCGCCGGCGGGGCGACTTCCGAGCCCACTTCCGCCCCGACTAAGAGAAGGAAACAGTCTCACGTGACAGGAAGTGTGATGTCAGACGGAAATGACTCGATGGATAAGCTTGGACGATCTCGCGACGTCAAAAGAGATACTAAAATACGGCCGAAATGTACCAAACATTGTTCCACTTTTCATTGTTAGGCAGAAAATTTGATTTAGTCTCCTCTTCTAACGAATTTACAGACAAAACAAACAAAAAAAGAAAAAAAATGATCCTATTCGACTGTAAAATTTAAATTTCATAATTCTTTAAGATTATTGGATTAGAATCCGTGACGAAATTCGAATTCAAATTTGAGTTTTTCTTCGATTGGTTACATTTCGATTTAGAAACGAGATCATTGGATTAAAAATGCTTACGAAATTCGAATTCGAATTCGTCGTTCTTTAATTGGCTATTTCGTCGATTTAAAAACAGAAAAGGAAATTATAAAATACGAAGAATTATCAAATAAAATAGCCAAAAATAATTTAAATATTCAACATTACTAACGAGATATCCGTGTATATCATATATAATTAAACATATACAGATTGTGATTAAAGAATTAAAATTACAAATCAAAAAAACATGAAAATGATAAAAATATTTTTCTAACCTTTATCATATATGTGAATCTCCTAAGCGTGTATATCTTCGTCGAGAGAGCGTTAGGCCGGAACTGCCCGAAGCGTAGCAAGTCGCATGTTGTGTTGGCGGAATGAGGAAGTGAACTGAGGAACTGGCGATGAGTAAGCACGTGGTATCGGCACTACCTAACCCAATGCGCGTAACAGCTGCGTGCTTCTCGCAATGTAACGTAAAAAATTCGACCCTCAGGTAATAATAATGATAATAGTTAAAGAACATCCGCCATATTAGCTATCATAAGATATATAGTTACGTCAACAGGAAATGTTGCAAACTTCCTCTTCGTATATACTATTCAATATATATATATATATATATTTAAATTATTATAGTAAAAGTAAACATCTGTACGTTTAATCTAAACACTACTCCATTTGCAAGTACAGGAAATTATTTCTGAAATTATATTCTGGTTAGTTTGGTAACGTTGACGTATATCTGAAGGGGGAAATACAGTATTCGTTTTCTACGAATCGTGTTAAGTAAAATAATTATTTGTACTTTGTACAGTACGTTTGCGTAGTTTTAGTCGCCTTTGCGTATACTTCGTCACACTCAAAGAAAATTCTAGCTTTCTTGCAGACTATTTTTATATTCTGACAAAAGCCATCCCTATCTTGATCTTATTAAGGGTCTCGAAAGGTTTCTTTACAATTGCAAAATTTGCATTTTTCTCCTATTACCTATTTATTTATTTATTTTCTATTATTATTTATTGTTGTATAAGTGCATACCCGATAATATTGTGTAATTGTTATTGTTTACTGTTACGACTCGATCTCGTACGTTATTGGTTAAATCATATTTAAATTTTTGAAATTTTGAATCGTATTGGTTATCGTTTTTTTGAAATTTGAAATTATGAACTGTTATTGGTTAACGTTTTTAAAATTTGAAATTAACGAATCTTATTGGTTAATGTTTTTAAAATTTGAAATTAACGAATTTTATCGGTGAATATGTTTGTGAATTTGGGGAATTCTTTTTTTTTTTTTTATTTATAAATTTGCAAATATACATTTACTTTAATTACATGTTTATTATGAGTTTTATTAATACAGTCAAACCTGATGAGAATATAAAAATGTTCCTTATTTAGAGGTTATTTCGTATACATTTTCGTTCAGGAAAAAAAAATGGCCCCTGTTTAGAAGTGATTGTTGCTGGGAAGTGGCCGTCTTTGGAGGTTCGACTGTATAATAAAATTTTTCATAATATTCTATTAAAATACTCAAGAAAACCTTAATAATATTAAAAACAGGCAATGCTTAATTTATTTCGACAATTATTTAAAAGACAAAACCAAATTTAAAAATATTTAAAAAATATTCATTTGATTGGTTGAAACGTATTTAAATATTTGAATTTAAATATTTCTCACTTACTATTAGTTTAAATATTTTAAAGGGCGTATAAGGACTTGTTTTATATTCAAAATATTAGTCTGTTTATATTCATTTTAATGATAAAAATAACATTTTTCTTCCTATTTAATTCCACATTAAGTAATAATAAATCATAAAAATCAACAAAAATAAATCCGAGGAATAGGCTATATATTTTTTAATTAAAAAATAATTTACTATTTTATTGTTTCCTTTAAACAATAGATATTATTGTTTTCTTTCCTGTTATAACACTGAAGTAAATATCAATTAAAAATTTAATTAATGATGATAAAAATTTAAACTCGATTAATCTGTAAATTTATTGGATAATTTTAATAAATTATTAACTATTTAAATGGTAATTACTTAAATTTGTAACAATACAAATTAATAAATTTAAATGTTGAAAAATATTTTTTTAATTTTGAAAGTAGCTGTTTTGATTAATAAATAAAATTAAATTAAATTTTGTAATTTAAAATACTATGTGATTAATTTAATTAATCTCTCGGATATTACTATTATTATTATTATTGAATTTTTTAAAAATATTCGTTAATATCTCATTAATTTAGTATTATTGGTCAATTCAAATTGAAATATGTCAATTTCAACAAAGCGATTGGACGAAATTCAAATATTTAAATTCGAATCGATCAATAATCTTGCTTGAAATGAACTAATTTAGTATTATTGGTTGATTTAAAACGATTAACGAATAAAACGGTTCAAATTTAAATTTTAAATTTTTAAATTGACCAATAAAATTCTTTAATTCGAAAATAACAAATAATAACGATTTTTAAATAAATTCTTGCCAATTACTAACGATTTAAACGCATTATACAGATTGTAAGTTATTTTTAAATTAGAAAATTCTACATAATTTAATATATGGATAGAAAAAAAAAGAAAAAAAAGATGTTATTTCTATAATGGTAGATGAGCGTAAAACAGGAAACTAGTGAAGAGGCAGAAAAAAAGACGTGACACGATCATCTTTTCTCCTCCCTTCCCACGTGTTGTAGTGGCCTCGTTTATCACATTTCCTCCACCTGACGCTCAACAGTTGACAGGTTTGTCTTTACTTCCGTCCTAATAGTTTGAACATGGACAACAGTCAAGGAAATCAACATTTGCAATTTCCTTGATATCTCAAATAAATTAACCACTTCCTCCCTTCTCTTTCCCTTTATTGAAAGGGCATCACAAAAGGAGAAAGACTTTCGGGGAAAGAAATCGATTTAAATAATAAATAATGAAACTTCAAACTAAAGACTATTTTTTTTTACTTCGAAAAAATCCTCATTATTCTAAAAATGTTTCCTGAAATGTTTTGAAGAATGAAAAATAAAAATGGAGCCGATCCAAACGAAAAAATTAGAAATGAAGTTGCGTATCATATTTTAAAAATTCATTTCTCTTGTTTTTGTACTAGTATATTTCCTTGTATTTTTTTATTATTTATTTAAAAACATAGAACTCGTTTAATCTAAAGACCCTATTGTTTTTCTATAAATTCGATTATTATGTGATGTCACAAAGGAAGTTTTATGCGCGCCTTTCCCCTCCCTTCCTTATTTTATACAGTATCCTCCTCTCTACTACTTTAACGGATTCGATACGCAAAAACACGTACCGCAACATCCTATTCACATATTCGATCCACGTACTGTGACACTAACGTAACCATTTTCCCAAATCCCTCGTTGTACAGTACCTCGATATTATATCTATCGAGATACTCGATACATCAAAACACATACTAGAGTGTGTAGAAGCCTACGAAACACCTGATACATCGAAAAAGCATTACAATTGACTAAACGTATCGCAAAAAAAACGTTAAAACGAGGAGGCGATCTACCCGGCTTTAAATCAATAAGAGAATGTTAAACCGAGATGATATAGGATACCATAACTCCTAAGAGTAGAAAGTCCCGTATAAAGTACATCGTCTAACCCCTTTTTTCAAATGCGAAAGAGTTTGGCCCTTCGTCTTAACGCCACGAGAAACGTCATTATAAAAGACTTACCTGACGCAATGCGAGAGAGAAAAGGCGTCCTTTCTTCTAAACGATGGTTCGCTTATCTTCCGAGAACTGAAACAATCATATCGAGGATAAACAATTTAAAAACAACCTTACTTCCTCTAGCGAAGGGGGGGATGCAACGATTCCACCTCACATATTGCCCTGGGGTAAGGGGGAGATGTGCAAATAGATGCGCGCCTATACCTCTAACCCATCGGTAGTATCCGTCTTGCCAAGTCCTGTTTCCTCAACTGTCCATTTACTGGGGTACTATGGGAGGAAGTCGATGCAACATCCTGTTTTGTCTGTCCCCTCCAGCTAGACGTTTTAGTTGACTGTAAAGCTAAGAAAACTTGTCTCGCCGCTTACATAAACTGTCGTGATAAGGCATATAAACTGGTTCTTTTACCTCTAGAGATTTTCAAAACTTTACACCCCTTTCTGGAATATTTTTCTCCATGCTTTCGAGTTTGCTTTCACCAGATTTTTTTTTTTCAAAAATAAAAATATACTTTTATTGTTAAGAAATCTAAAAATTTGGTTGTGTTTGTAGTGTTTGTTTAAAAACTGGTGTAAGTGGATACGCGTCTCTTCTCAGCACGTGGCTGGTAGTAGGGAGCCAGGTGCTTACCGCTATTTGACCTTTACTCCCCACTGTTAGCTGCCAGTCGAACAAAGGACTACACCAACTCGATGACGTATACAAAAGCTGATGCCCTTTCTTATGCCCCGAATTAGATCGACCCTACTCGTTTCTTCTGTCAATACCTTCTCATTATATACTTCAACCATCATCTACATTCAATAGGCATCCAAACAGATGGTTTCTACTTGAGAATATTGCCCATTTTGGAATTTGCACCCGTGGTGCCATCTATCGTTACTGTTTTTGTTACTTTTTTTAAAAATTGTATTACGTTCCCTCTCTCTCACTTTTTGGGTGCGTAGATTCATCGCTTCGTCTTTGGCTTTGCTGTTATTAAGATGTTTTTAATAAATGGCGAGAAATACAAGAGGAATCGACAAAAGAAATAAAGTTGTAATTCAAGTCTACTCTGGATGACCGATGGCATTGTTAGGAACGGGGTGAAGAAAAGGGAAATGGAGAAAGTAGACTCGTATGACTACATTTTAAAGCCATTCGATAATCGTTTTAAAATGAATAGTGAACAAGACGACATATTAATCAGCTCAGTGGTATAATTTCTGACAGTGGCCATTGTTAATGGTTACACTTTAGTTTTTGCTCTCATCTTTGATTATTATACTCCTTTTTTTTACTTGTTTGATCTAATTTTTAAGTTTCCTTTCTATTTCTCAATCGATTCTTTTTCATTTTAACTGAATTATTCCACTGACAATGACGTAAGACACGGCACAGATGAACAATACATCGGCCTCAATTTTGTCCATTTTTTTAAATTGTGTTTCATTGCATAGTTGACAAGTTATTCGATTGATTTATATAGAATATTCGTTATATTAATATTTCGTAGATACTAATAAATATTCTACTGTACAGTACAATAAAAATGGACAGTTCTGATTCATTGACAGTCAAATCTGTTCACTTAATGTCCTCAGCAGAGAACGGTAAGATGAACACATCCGATTTTCAATTAGTGCTGTTCGTTTTATATTTATTGAAGATCTGGAACAGTTGTTCCCTTATATTCGTTTAGTGGATGAAACCACTAAACACTGGTCTCAGATTCGCGCCTTACAACGGACTAGCACGTGAAGTTTTTTCGGTTTTCTTCACGTGTCTAACACCAAAATAGGAGCTGGTTCCCATAGAAAATCCTTCCTTGGCAGATCGCCCATGCGTTGCGCCGCCGTATGTTAAACCAAACTGAGCTATTTACACAGTCGACCCCCTATAACACTGTTGATTATTCCGTTTTATATGAATTCCATGTTGTACGAGTCACTTAGATTTTACAAATACGTGTGCCGAGCTGTGAACGGATCACGTATTTGTAGAAATTTTTAGCGATTCCCACTTACTTTCAGTATTTTAGATAAGTATATAAAACAACTCAATTTGGATAATAAAATTAAAATTAAAAATATAATTAATTTATTACTAAAACTCTTACGCAGGTGAAAAAAAATAATAAAATAAAATTACGAATTGAGGGATTCCAATTTGAAGTTACATGCAAAAAGCGCGGTACACCGCCGCTATTTGCATAGACCCCTTATTACGCCGCCATCTGTATGGAGGATGTTATTCGTCGTTAGAATTATTAGAAATAAAATTATTCGACTCCAAGAAAGCAGTTCAATTTTACTGCAGTTTGTACGGTGCTCAAGGGCAATGGCTCACCCAGAGGAGCGTCAAGGGTCCTTGGCATCCCCCAAAGTAAAATGAAAATAATACTAGTAAATTTTCCAATTTTTTTATTAACCCAGCGATTCCCAAACGGGGGTACGCGCGTGAATGGTTTAGGGATACGCAAAGAAATATTAATAATGGCGACTGTCAGATTTAGTTTAGAAATTACCTTTTTATTTATTGAAAACTATGCATAGTAATATTACAGTAGATAAATGCATAAATAAACAGGAGTTTTAAAATACGAATTGATTAAGTTATGAAGTTTGAATACAGAAATACAGTGTGTATGATGTATTTAAGTTAAGGTATACCTATAGAACTGTGTCTCAGGCAGGTATGTATATGATGACAGTTTTGGTCCGATTGCACACCAGATAATGCCAATAGAGTGCCTTAAAATCTTTACCCGAATATCCTATAAAACAGTTAGTAGATGCTCACTGCGATCACTGCGTACCTACTGTTTGGAGGTGTTCAAACGCCAGCGTGGCGACAGCTTTGGTCATAAATTCAAAAGTCGCAACAACAGGAACTCTGAACTTAACGGATCTGGCAACCTGACACTATGATCTCACTTATGGGTTCAGGTGTACACGTGTATTGATTCTATGTTCGCCCGGTATGTAGCATCGTAATCTATGTAACATACAGAAAATAGTTTTCCAATTATTTTGTCTGTAGCCCGATTCTGTATTGTGAAGTAATTACCTTACAGTACAGAATCAATACGAATTAGCGCTGCAAACTGCTACAAACTGGAAACACTCTCTTTAGTGACGTATTCCAATTTTATTTGTGAACGGATGACCAGCGCGTTAATTAAAGTGTGGACCCTGCTTCAAATCCGCCTCTACTGTTGAGTGGCACACTTTCTCAGCGCTGGCATGCTAGAGTGTATGATGGTTACATCTACTGTATAGTAATAAAGTGAAGGACAAGACAACGTAGCCATACGTTCAGGTAATCCTCATGTCTTACATTTCATGGCACAATTGCAAACAATCATTTTTCAGGAATATAATGTGCATTATCTAGTTACAATTTCTCGGGAATATTTCTCACATTACCACACATTTTTGGCCTGCCCATTCTTCAAATTGGTTGATCATCGAGCATTTTTTTGGAATAAGACGGGACACCAGCTTAAGCTTTCCACAAGTGTGAGTGATCTGAAGCAGCAGTTACAACATCTGTAGGCAAATCTATCGCAGTGTAGTCTATTAGTGCCAGTAAGGATCCACAGGAAATTGTCCATTTGTTATGATGTTGCATTTATTTACTAATATTGTAATAGAAATACTAATAATTGTAACGGCCGACCGATAAAGGTGAGAGTTGACCGCTCAGATGGATCCGGAATCGAAAATTTCGGGAATTTTTAATGGTTGTCTGTCCGGATCTCATGCCCGGTCCTCCATCACCCGACCGCTCCATTGCAAGCCTGGCCAAACTCATAATGGACTTCTAGAAAAGGCTCTCTTAGTGGCTACAGGGTGGAAAAAAAGTTAAAATAAACTTAATTACACGTTAAAAGTCAAAATATAAGTTTAATTTTAACTGGAAACCTGTTTTTTTTTTGTACTTGTCAACGGTTATACAATCTCTTCTCACTAGAGGGCTCATTTATGTACGTGTACAAAAATCAACGAGCTAGAATAACAAGATAGTTATTCAACCTCTGGTTAAAAATAGCGCTTTACGCTCGATAATACAGATAATTACAATACAAAATAATTTGTCTCGTATAAAATCTAACATTTAAACCCTATAATGACGTCAATTTTTATTCATTAAATTTATAAAAAAATAAATAAAATCCGTTTAATTCTCTCAGACAAGATTAAAACATCTTAATTACATTTATGATTAAATCGGTATTTTTAAGATTGTAAATAAATAAATAATATCTTATAATAAGTTTTTTTTTTTTTAAATTAATAATTTTTCGAAGCCGATTTATTGACACCAGATGGCGGCACGGTGAAGCCGAACTGTAATGGCTGCCGTGGATTTCGATTCGTTGTTGCTCCTGTTGAAAGTAAGTACGTTTGGAGTTTTAACGCGTTACTGTGGTAAACGAACCGTTATTAATGCTCCCTTTTAAACAGGCAACGTCGAAACAGCACGTTAATGACCTTTGTAGGGATGCTTTTCTCTGTCAGGACCTCCCACCCAAGCACTTAGTGGTACAATGTGCAGGGAGATTATCCATCGAACATGCGGATGCCTTAAAGGTAAAACCAATTTAAAACTCCACTTTCGCCTCGTAAGGAAGCAATTAGAGTAATGAGAACGTATGGCTGTCTGTCTGTCCTGATGATTTTTTCTATAAAGCTTCTAAATTGTTAACATTGCAGTTCTGAAATTGATGGGTTTGAACCCCCAGGCCCTACACCTGTAGGGCCTGGGGGTTCAAACACATCAACTTCTAGATTTCTTCTCACTAGAGGGCTCATGGCCCAGGCCCTACAGCTGTAGGGCCTGGGCCATGAGCCCTCTAGTGAGAAGAATTTGATGTAACAGCCATAGCGCCTGGACAACTGTTACATCATTTGTTCTCATTAGAGGGCTCATGGCAGGCCCTACAGTTGTAGGGCCTGGGCCATGAGCCCTCTAGTGAGAAGAATTGATGTAACAGCCATAGCGCCTGGACAACTGTTACATCATTTGTTCTCATTAGAGGGCTCATGGCCCTCTAATGAGAACAAATGATGTAACAGTTGTCAAATAAAAAGACAGGTTTCCATTCAGTACTTTAAAGGATGCTTGCACTTTAAACTCTTCCTATTTTTAACCTGAATTTATGTGCATGAATAAGTAGTCTGGTGGTGTCTTTTGGAAGGATTAAGGTTCATTTGAATAATAATAATGAATGGAAATGTTTATAGCTTTCTCAGAGTTTAAACAATCACCAGGAAAACATTTTTTGTACCTTTTATGCGTCGTATTTATACAATTCCAGTGAAAAGTTTCGTAATTATTATTCGAAATTGCGAAATTTAAGTCTGAAATGCGTTAGTGTCATAAACTTTGAATTCCGTTGCATTTTAACTTTGCGATTTTAAACGTTTGTCTAGTTCTAATGCAAAACTATGATTTCCGCTATTTTTTTTATTTTTATTTTTATGCCTATTATCAGGATGTTTTCCTGCTTGTGGGTCTAGTCAAATACACTGGATAGTGAGGGGCAGGAGCTAACGATTTTGGGTCGGACCACTCGTACAAATGCAATGCAAATGAGGTCCTTATCATCCCTGTAGGAGTAAAATAGTCTAAGAAACTGATGTTTTGTATGTGTCCTGTTGCTAGATATGGTCCCTGAAATTGGCCTGTCTGGAATTTTGAAGACCCTCAAAAATGGGATAAAATTTAAAAGTGAGAATTTCTTTACCTATTTCTCAAAATAATGCTAAAAATCAACCGTTTTCCACTGCTAGAGATGGCTAAAAGCTCATACCGCATGAAAAATGCCACTGCACCGACTGCTTCTTGAGCATGATTGGAATTGTGCCGAACACTCCATTAAACCTGTCGCATGTTTAACGGGCAGCCTTGTCGGATATTTGGAGATGAATATCTTGCCAAAGGTCACAATTAGAGGTATTGTTCCTTCGGTTTTTGATCATTTAGGGGGTCCAAACCTATTATTCATAGCTGCAATTTACCTTTTGTAATGTAGCTTATAGTCAATATAAATTATTATATTGACTAAGCTTTGATTTTGAACTTATTATATGGTTTTTCATCATATGTTGCTTACATTCTGGCAGTCCAATTGTATCGCCAGGCTTTGTTTATATTATTTATTGCAAAATATAATCCTTTGTAATGAATATTTTAAAAATTATATTGACTGTGCCACTATTTACAGGAATTCATGCAATTTAAACATTAAACGTAGTGACAAAATGATGAAATTTGGAGCAAAATGTTACTCGTACATTTGGAAATTACCCTTTATCATTGTAAAAAGCAACCTTTTTTACTTAGTGAAACATAAGAAGGATTCTGTTTGCTTAGCTTCAGATATAGAAAATAAAGGAAGCATTAAGATTGATAAAATTTTTGAATATTTTTCTGCCATCAAAGTCTCGAGTGACATTGCTACATTTCCTGGAGAAAAATGAATGCAGTCAATTGAAAAAAATTGGAATATTTAATTCCTGAAATATCTTTAAGTTTATTTTTGTAAACGGTACAGCCATATACTTCTTACTTAGCTTTTATTTAAGATATCTTGCATGAAAAATTCAGCACAAAATACTTTAAGTGCACCAATTAAGTGTTTATATAAGAGATTTCAAGCATTGTATAAAAATATTTTAATTACATTGAATGGTTAAACCTATATTTTAAGTAGTACTTTGGATTAAGCAAGCATTAAGCGGATAATGCAAAAGTTTACGTCAATAAAAATCAACTTAATGTTTCAGCTGTTGAACTCTCTATCTTCATTAACAAAGCTAGCAGTTTTCCGTAACTGTTCCACACCCGAATTGGTCGCTTCCTTATTTCCGTCGGAATTCCACAAAAATCTAAAAGAATTACTGGCGAAGATAATAGCCGACAGATTTCAACAGTGGGAATCGGAAGCATTAGATAACATGGGTGAGTTCGATATTTATGTAAAATTACTTAAAATTTCGATCGAAGGTTATTGGATGATTAAATTTACCATGACAGTTTTTATCCTTTCAGTTTCACTACCGAGATTAAAGGATTTCGGATGGAGGGTCGACATGAAAATGGCATCTAGTGATATTGCCAGAATTAATGCGCTCTCTTGCATTCTACATTTAGCGGTAAATATATTTTGTGTTATAACCATACAGGGTCTTCTAAAAAGAATGTTACCATTTTAAATTACTGTTATTATGTTAATTATTACCCGAGAAGTATGCAACGTATACCACTCGACGGAGTAACTATCCGAGTTTCATTATCGTCTGCAGTCGGACATCTTTTTCTCCGCAGCCTCTGGGAAGTACTGTAAATGAAAATGGTGACGCTGCAACAAAGAAGGCAGTTTGCAAAGTCTGAATCAGTCATAATTGCGTGACAAGAATGTTTACCATACATGATGGATCATTTTGAAATTGTCTGTAAAGATCATTTTGCACAATGATGATTGCAGTTTTGTGAACTGCAGAACACCAAAACACTTTCTCTAGTGCCGAATCATCATTTTTGTTTACGGTGATTCCTAGGACAGAGGAAAAAAGACGTTTGTATGAGGACGGAAGACGTAACTCTGTCGATTGGTGTACATTGTGCACTTCTCAGGTAATAAGTAACATAATTACAGTATTGTTTTTGGAAGACCGTGTATTAAATGTAATGGATTCTACGTTGACACGAAAGTTTCGTGAATAGATTTTAAAAATTTAACATTGTTTAATTGTTTTAATGTGTATGGAAAATTAAAATGGATATTAATACATTTATTAGATTGAAGACAACAGTTCCTGTGACTCCGATACGGTCTCGAATGTAAACGTGGAATTAAATAAAGAAACGTTGGATACAATGCTTCACGGACTGGGTAGGATACGCGACCAACTTTCGGCCGTATCTAGAAAATAATGTGGTATTAAAGCATGCTAATTTACTGTAAGTTATCAGAAATGTATTAATGTAGTTGAAATTGTTTTGTAAATATTTTTTATAAATATGTTATTAGAAAATTATAAATAATATAATTTAAAAAAATTTGATAAATAAAATTGATTTGTTTGTATCTATATCATTATTTTTAATTTCTAAATGAACTTTTAATGCTAATTATAATGAATTCTATGTGCGTATATATGCAATTTTAGAGCCAGAAAGGAGTGAAAGTAAATATATGCTCAAATAATGAAAAGTAAAGATTACATAACACAAAAATACAGCTTAGGAAGTGTCTTACATAGCATTAAAAAAAACACATAATTCATATACTATCATAACTTATGGATATTGTAAGTCAATATACTTCGTTTCCTTGTGACGGTTGACCGTCGAGGGGCCGGCCTGTCCGAAACGAGTAGAAATTAGAACTTGTACAGCCCGTGTGCTAAATGCCGACGACTCGACCGTAATAAAGGCGATGAAACTAGTTTGCCATTCCGAGGGATTTTGTTTTCAGTGCCAAGTGTGTATCAACACAAGTCGAAGGTGTGACTGACTTAGCGAATAATATCACCGAAGAAGTATGTATTGGGTAATGCGGTATGAATTTCTCAAGACCGAACACTTGTCCTGTCTTCGAGGTGTTTCTGCCCTTTACCGCTCTTCCGTACTATTGTGAATCTGACCAAAACACATGATGAATGTGGAAAAAAAAGTCAGTTTAGTGCCTGTGGGGTAGAATGAATTACAGAAATAACCAAATGCAATGCCTCAAACAACATTTCATTCACACTTGCTGTAGACTTTCAATGAAATCGTGAAAACAAAGCAGATTTTCATGGTTATTGCTTAAAACTTATGCATAATTTGCATGGTTGAACTTTCTATATAAAAGCTGTATTTTAAGGAAGAAAAGTGCACCACACAAATCTAAGAAAATACTGGAAGGCAAAGAACCCTCCTCCTTTAAAATCCCACCATTTTTAATCAAATTAATTGTATTTCTCTCTGATGAAGGCACTTTGTAAGTTCTTCAGGTGAAATGGAAGAATTCCAAAGCATATTTACATAAAATCCACCCGAATTTGTGTTGTGTTTACGGCGCAAAAAGCCGTTAAAAATCAGTAAATAAAGTGTAAAAATAGAACATTCTTCGCCGTTAAACACACGCCAAAACAATGGACAACACCAGAAAGACACGCGTTTTCTAACTGTTACATAAATTCTACTCGGTAAACCTTGTATGACATCACAATTATCTCAGCGACGTTTCGGTATATCAAAAAGTCACGTCACACTAGAAGAGAATCCGGATCTTAACACAAAATTAATACAGTAACACTTGGGTTTTTTATAGGTTACGGCACGTAACAACGAAACATTGTTGATTTTATTGGAAGGAAATTTATTTCCCGGATACGGAAAAGTGGGGACGTTTCTTTTCTCTATTCTAAACACTACGAAACGTGTTTTTTTTTTTTAAATACTAAATTATAATGTGTCACTTCGCGCGTTACGCTCGACTGCGGGTATTTTAAAGCGTTCGGGACAGAAGTACTGTACGTGTTACTTCTAAACACGTGCACATCGGAAATTACCTGGTACGTGCGTCTAACCGGAAGTATCGCGTAAAATCCCGCTTAAAACGTTTTTTTAGTCTGTGACGTAATTCCATCAGATAAAGCGTAACCGTGAGTACGATAACAGGAAAGCAGGTGAATTTCTTCCGCAGCTGCATAAAATACCCCCCGAAAAAATAAAGAAAATTCGGACTCTAAATGCCACCCCTTTTCCAGAAAAGGCCGTGCGAATCGATTGTGACGACACACAGATTGGTTTCCGAAAACAGCCCATTGTTTTGTCATAAATTTAAAGATTACTGTGTAAAAACACACCAGACTTCTGTGTGACGTCGACGTCAGACGAACAACACATGTATTGTCGCTTAAATTAATGCAATTATGACGAAGAAATTTTATACACTATCCACGTGACTTTCACGTATCGGGTTTTCTTTTTTGTTTTTTAAACGAAAAGGAATTAGCGTCATTGGCCGTTACGAATTCGAAAGTAGTCCAATTACCGGACGTGTTGAGGTCACGTGGTTAAGGGTTATAAATCCTTTTGTCGTTTACGATCACGTGTTTATGCGAGATTTTAGTGTTCCCTTTTGGAAATTTTAGGCAATTGATGCTCGTTAATTGATGCGCGAACGCGCACGCACGCTGGCGTATCGATCGAACCGTTCGGAAATTCCCCAAAAAATGGCGGCGGTCGAGTCGATTTCTCGCCGTTTCGGGGTAATTTCCCTACATAAGAAGGTCACGTTGCACGTGCTAGCTACGTGCTGATAAAGTAAATTCGAGAAAAAGTTCCGCGAAAGAAGCCAAGTACACGTGCACTCCCGTACGACGCGGATAAAACGGATCGTCACACAACCGCGGATGGAAACTTGTTGATACGTCACACACAGGCTAACACACATCCTTTCCTTCCCGATGACGCGCAGCTGCACGTTAACGAGTTAACGCAGCTGCATAATAAACACGTCATAAAATTAAAACAACGCGTACGAACCGAAACAATTAGAATTCGTTAATTAAAATTTCAAAATTTGAAAAAAAAAAAATAATAATAAATACGCTGACGTATCGATGACGTCGAGGGAGGGATTCGTTTCGGATTTTTAAACGTAGCGACAAAACCGTGCACGAGGGTGTACTATTTATTACCAGCGAAATTTATTTTATTTTCGAAAAGCAAACACTTGGAAACTGTACCACTTAGTGTCGTCGACGTCATAACTTCCGTCAGACGACATGTACATGTACGGCGTGACGTCACCCGTTCATGTTGATTGGCGCGAATTATGGCTCGGCGGCCATTGGCCGCTTTTCTATCATTGATCGTCTGTCGCGCTCCGATTGGTCCCCGAGCGTCACGTGACTGGTAGTATAAAAGCTTTGTGAACGCTCGTACGTTGTTGATTCCCGCTAGTCGGCGATATTTGTTTACTGAGTCCGTGGGTATTAAGCTTATTTTTTAAGGCTAATTTTATTAATTAAACGTTAATCATGCCGGCTACACGTTCTAGAACAAGGTAAGAAACGTTTTTAACTATTTAAACGCTTAAAATTCGTTAAATGTAGACGTTATTATTAAGGAGACGGATACCGGTTTACTGGGTCTTTGTTCTCCATTCGCCGGCTTCGTGTAAGGGAAAAATCCTGGAAAATTCCCCAGAAAACACTCGAATTATCCCTTCTGCTGGGCTTATTTATCAAAAAATCCGTTAAATTAAACCTATTTAGTTAAGTATAAACCATACTTAATATACATATATAAAGCTTAATACCGAACGATCGGTAATTCCGGTTTGTATTCAAACCGTTTAGGGTAATACTGGTTAATATTACTCTAAACTTTTTTAGGGATATTTCCGAACCGAAAAGATAATTTAAATTCAATTCCCGTAGCACGTTACACTACGAAGTTATTCGGAACATGTAAACATGTCCTCATTAACATGTGCTAATTTATTATTTTGTTGCTCCTTTAGCTCAGAACATGCTGAAGCTGTCACAGAAGAACTGAAGAAGACAGAGACCAGCGAAACCGAGAAGCAGAAGCCGGAGAATCCGGAACCCGAGGCAAAAGTGAGTGCCACCGCTCTCTCCCGGCCGCGTTCCTCGCGACCGATGGATCTCAAACTCTGGCGAAACGATCCGAATGGTCGTTCGGGTGCCGTGCCTCTGTGCCCGTTGCGCAAGCTTAAAACGGTATGCGGGGATTGGGATTTCGCGGAGTAAACTCCGAGCATCCTTCTCCGCCTCCTCCCTGGCGGAGTTTTAAATTAAATAACGGATGTGGTCGGTGTCTCCCGGATGCTTCGAATGCTTGACCATTTAAAAATAATCCCTTAAGTAAAATTGGGTTGTTATTACGGTGCCAAGTGGCTTGCGTCCGGGGTAATTATATCTGCATTTTTCTCCCTCCAGAAATTCAAATGCGGATTTGCCAGTTCTAGTTTTTTAAAGGAAAAACTGAAAATAAAACTCATTCCAACAAAAACATGATGTAGATGTATTTATTTTAACTGATAAGTAGGTAAATATTAATCACTGCCAAAAGTTTCCTCTTTAACAAACTATGTTAATGTTTTTTTTTATTTATTTTTTTATTTTAGCCAGCTTGAAAATGTTATACATAAGCAAGAATGTTAATTTTATATTTATACTTTTTAGATTTTTCCATACAAATCCTATTTTAGGATGCCGATTATCTCTAGACTTAATTTATCTTTTTGGGACTGTTATAAATTTGATAGTGTGTTATTAGATTAAACAAATATTTAAAATCATCCCATCTGACCTGATTTTATTTCCAGTTATCAATATTTTTGATTATTTAAAATAAATAATGCTCAAAATTCAGATCTACGATAGGCGGTTTATCTGTTCTAGATTAAGGAACGGACTATTTTTCCTTGTATTTTTTTTTTTATTGCCTAATTCAAACTTTGAACCGACAAAAATTTCACTTTTTCGACCGAAAACAAACGAGAGGGGAGTTTTTTTTTAGTGACACACACAAATTTCCATTCATAAAATTCCTGCCTACTCATTTGATTGATTTTGTCGAGTAAAAATAGAAGTTTTTTTTTAATCATGCGAAAGTAACGTCCGACAGATTAAATCCGAAATGGTTAACTTGTAGCTTTATCGCATTTAAATATTAATTTAAGTCTGTCAATTGCTTAAAGTTATGAAATATGGTATTTATATAAAATCATAAACGATTCCTATTAATAATTTTCAGCTGGTGTAATTCGATATAACATAAACTTTGTATTTAACTGATTGATTATTTTAGAAACTATTTTCTATTTGCATAAGTGACCTTGAAGCAACGGCTCTGTTTCTGCATAGTTAAATTTCTTGTTTTGGAAGGAAAGTTTAAAAGACCGCATGCCAAATTACATATTTAAGTTTAAAGAAACCATTATTGCATACTACACTGTATATATATATTTTTTTTTTTATTTATTAAATTCTTTTGTCGTGAATCATTTATAACTTTATTTCCTCCATCTGTTTTTTTTTTTTTTGTTTTCTTCCTGATACGTTTGTTTCATAAAAGTTAGCTATTGATAACAGTAAACATTTGCACGTTAGTTTGCTTTTAATTGTCTTGTGTCAGTTAATCTTACAAAAGTTATCAAATATTAATTAGCAAAATGAAGGAACTCTACCAAAAAAAGATGAAAAACTGATAAAATTCAATAGGTAAGATATGCAGATTTTATTTTAGTATAGGACGATAATAAACACGGTGTTTAGAACTTTGGTACTTGTACTGTTTCGATAACATTATTGAAATTCTGTTCGTGCTTTTGTTGAGAGAGTATAAATCGTTCGCTGTGTTAGAAATCAATAAGATTGATTATGTGGATATAAGAAATGATAGTTGAGCACGAACAATCTAGAGAATGAAAAATAATATAAAAGATTGATTATAAAATTAATTTAAATACGAAAAAGTTAATTATTCTTAATTTTGTTAAACTGCAAACTCTCCTTGTTTACTTCTGTATATATATATTGTATTTATCATATGCATGTTTTTGTTGATAGGAAGAGCATTTCCTTTTTGATTATAGCCATTTATATTTTAATTCCAGGAATTTCTAATGAAATTTTAACTTTGAAAAATGGTTGGAAATTTTGTTATATTTTTCTTATTTTATATTTTTTTGTTTAGACTAAAATTTGATGCGAAATGTAATTTGCATTTAAAAAAAAAATTCTGTTTAACTTGTATTTCTTTGTAAAATTATTTAAAATCAAAAACTTTGAGAATTTGCAGCACTTTGAGAAGATTGCATTCTTTAAACATGACTGGTATCTATTAGTTTAATACTAGTCTTGAAAAGTTAACTGTCACTAATCTAGAAATGGATCTGTTTGTTTGAAAGGATAAAACTGAAGGGCCAGAAAACCAACCAGAGGAGAGCTCGAAAGAAGCCGAGGAAACAGAAGACAGCAAAGACGAAGCAGCACAGGAAAACGGAGGTAAGGACGACATTAACTCTTCTTCTCCCTTCCCTGCGAACGGCTCACCCTCTCGAAAAAGAATAATAATTTTTTGGGACGGTCTCTTTACAGAAACAAAGACGGACAAAAATACAACAGAGAGCGAAGCCCAGAAAAGGAAATCCGAAGGCGGCAATCCGGACAAGGCTGTCTCACCGGAGAAAAAGGCCAAACTAGAGGCAGAGAACGTAGAGGCGAACGAAGCCGAGAAAGCCGAAGCTGTCGCATAACATGCTAAATTGTTGGTCGTACTGTGTTGTTTCCAATATTTTATATATCAGGCATACGTGCACGGCATCGATTTATCATCCATCGCTTTTCGTTGATGTATTCACCCATAATAAATTAATATTTTCTTTGTTGTAACTTTTTTTTTTATTTTTGTTTATTTTTTAACTTTGTTTTTCTTTTTATTTTCACATATCAAAGTTTAAAGGATGTGTAAATATTGTTTCATTCAAAGTTTCCTTTTCTGTTTCATGGAAATTATATATATATATATATAGTGCAAACAACACAATACTACTACCTGTAACCAGTAAAATGTGGGTACTTAAAAGAAGCTTACACTCTTCGATGTCTCTTTTATCATTATGTATCGGGAACACCGATTCCAAAATGTGTGCGGAAAACAGTTTTTTTGTAATTTTTATGTAGAAAAATAGTCTACGTCACCTTCGAGTTAACGAGAGGCAGCGGCCCCGTCCGCTCCCAGATAATAAAAACAGACTTGAAGCTAACAAAAAAGAAAGTATATCAAAATGGATATGCATGTATCATAATATAGATTTTGTTCTATAGATTATAAATAAATTTTTTAGAAATCTTTTGACAGTTTAGTTTTAAAAAAAAAATTTCCACAAACCAGACTATATATATATATAATGAGGTAATTGTAAAACTTCTAGATCTCATGTACTTCATGAAAAACTCCAGAAGGTTGTAATGGAGTTTTCTAGTGTTTTAAGATGAAAAGAAAAAAAAAAACCTTTCTATGTGGAATTTCTTGCTGTAAGTTTTCTGTATCAACAGTAAAGTTGTTATTTAGCTATGCATCAATTTGATTTCTTTAATTCGAAATTGACGTCACACACAACGTAATAGCGTATTGTCTTTAACACTTGAAAATAAACAATGCTGCATTGTGGAAATATTCGTCAACACACGATCGGATAGTGTTGCCAGGCAGGAAAAAAAAATGGAAATTTTGCGTGGCAACACTCTCAGTGTTGCCACGCAAAATTTCCGATTTTTAATCTATATCCAAATAAGAAAAAAGTGTTTTTAATAGTAAAATCTTTACTATTTTAATTAATTCGAAAATAATAAAGTGATTAAATAAATAAATTAAAAAAATTCGTCACGAACCTTAAAGGTGAGAAGTCGCCATTTTGCCTGTTGTAGATTAGCGATAACTCCAGGCAAATGGCGACTTCCTGTCGGAAATATCTTATCGCCGCATTAAAACAGTAGGGGGCGTTAACGGCACAGACAAGATGGCGGCGATCACAGTTTGAGATTCTCATCAAAATGTCATCGAGTAGACAGAACTGTTTAATAGTTTTGAGCAGCAGAAAGGAAGGTAAGGAGATAAGGAGTGATTTATCGGGAGGAATTAATCATCTGTTTGTTTATATTAAGTTAAATACACGTTATCAGTAAGCGGGTCTTTGTTAATTATATACAAACATTAAGGTTCATTCCAGATTATTAAAAGATTATGTAACAATTTCGAGACGAAAGAGAGAACATTTATCGTATATCTCGAGCTGTTTAGAATTATTATAAATTGAGATGATTATACGTCACATCCTCTGATTATAAACAACTTCATAGGAATATTCTTCAGTAGGATTATAATTGTGTGTAATTGACTGTATGTTTTTATAATTTGGCAGTTTTCTTCACGGCATTTAATTAAAATCGCTCTTCGGTTTGCTTCGGCCTGGGTTTTTAAGGCTTTCGGCACGCGCCCTTTAATAATTAACCGCAGAATTTATCGTTCTCGATAACCGAGTCGTTTGGTCGGATATGCGAAAAGTAACTAGCCATTGCACTTCCATATGCTATAATTAATCATATTGATTGTATATTTATACAAAAATGACCAATGTATAATCTAAACGATCGCTTGTGTGGTCTACGGACGTGTTGCGTGGCAAAGCGGCTTTAACATGGCCGAATAAGCGAGCCAATCTGTATTTGGTTTTAATAAAGCTGGATATTGGTCGATTTATGTTGTTGAGTGTGCGATTACTCGCTATCGTCGGAAAGAAATGATGGTAGTGAATAAACGATAACTTGCAAGACAACGAAGTAGATATAAATTGCTTTTCTTGAAGCTTTCTTGCTTCTGCGAGTGTCCGCAAGAGAAATAAAGATGGTGTGAGATTGCTGTTATTAACTTTAGTTTGAAGGGCTCTGGTTTTCTATCCGAGAAAAGCCACGAACTGGCTTCGTGTTTGAGGGATGAATGAGAAACGATTCAACAAACTTACTAATCTAGAAAACAATTTGACAAAATATTTCAGTATCTAAATTCGGATCCTGCTTTGGACGTAGATGTTTATTTTTTGAATTCTAATGATAAATTATTGTTCAGTAGGGAAAAGAATGGAGAAAACTTTAGCTACAGCTGCATATGATATTGTAAAATAGAGAAAATTAGTAGTAGCAATATATGAAATGATACAAACTGTTGTAGCCAAGTCACATTGCAAATGTGATTTTTTGCAAACTTTATTCAATACGCTTTCATTTAGCAAACATTAGCTGTGGAATCCTGCTCTACAGCTCTTTATTCGTGCCATTAAGTAGTTCAAACTGTATTTCTGAAGATGGAATCTTGATTTATGACATTAATCCTGTGAGAAATGTGAATTTAATTCATGCTGGTTCACTTAATGAGAGCTTCTTAGAGATAAATTATAACGTAATAGGTCAATCATGCATTTATATTTGACTGGCTGCTCTATCTAAGGATCAAAAAAAGAAAAATTGCACAGGATCCATGGATCCAGCGATTGTCATACACAATCAAAATTGCAGAGTATTTTTGGACTTCATTAAGACTAATTTAATGATTGGAATTTATTCCAAAGATGATCGGTTGAGCTACCGTCTTAAAAATTTGAAATGAATTCCAGTCGTATAAGATGATGATGCGACTATTTACTTTTAAGCTGTATTCCAATGGTTATTAATAAAATTAATTTTAATGTAACTGGAAAGAAATCTGGGGATTTAGTCTTATATTCCACTGTTTGTTATGTTAAAATTTGCAAAATTATTATTCATACCGTGATATTTTCAGCCTGTTTGTTTCTATGATGTCGGAAGAGGCACGACATTCAATCATTCTTATATTATGTGTTGACTACAAAATGGTAACCTTGATCTTTTGTCATTTTACTCTTTATTATGAAGCATCCTATGATGCTGCATAATTAAGAGAAAGAACTGTGTCCAATTAGATCATTTGTGTTTTGCTGCTCATTTGCAAGTTTCACATTGCAATGGACACATTGTGTAGTAAATATTAGTCAATGATGATTCTTAATCAAATCACCCATCGATTTGTCTAAAGAGAACTTAAATTCTTGGTAATATCCAGGATGGCAGCATAGATTCAATAGATTATTTTAATCAATTTGAGATACGTTAACAATATGGCACTGAAATAGTATATATAAAATAATAATTACTGTGATAAGTGGATTAAATATTGAAGGATTGAGCTAGGATGGTTGGGAAGTTTTTCAATGCTTCTTCACATAGATTATAGTTTTTCAGTTTGTGTGAATATACATTTCTGATGTGTGTATTCTGGTATGCATCAAACAGTGTACTACGACATACTAAAAGATAATCTTCTATTCACCATTGAGTTCGTCAATGCCGTTTCCAATGCACGTTGAGCTGTGGATATGGTGAAGTTTAACAAAGCGATATGGTTACTTTCACAGTTATATTATTAACACCATTTTTACTACTCATCTGTATTAACCCTTTACATAGAGCTGTTTGCTTATGTTGTCTCGTTAGGTTGTCAGATATTCCGATAAAATCTTATTAAAATGTTCACTCATGCATCGGTCTGGCTGAGACTGACGCGTAATGGAATGCACCCATAGTTTGGTATATAAACATGTGCACTCGTGGACAAATTTCTGTTTTCTATCCTGTAGATTTTAAAACGAACTACACATAAGAACAGTAGAATCAAACTCAGAGTTTTAGGAAATATCAATTTCCACTGTGTTGCCTATTTTAAAATCCTATATAATCAATGAATTTAATTTGATTCATTGCACAGAATTTCAGTTTATAACGTTCAATTTTGCATAGGAGTATGGCTATTTGAATGGTATTGATTTTGTGCTGGGAATTTGAAAGTTGTCTTTGGCAAATTCTAAGCACTGTATTATGCAAAAATGCTTGAACTGTGAGAGGATTTGGTTGAAAAATCCTAAATTGATTGGATAACTTGTCTATAAAGGTGGCTCTACACATGCGGTATTTGCCAATTGCCGGATAATCTCCTTTTGTCAAAGTGTTTGTCATGTGGCAAGCAAATAGCACACGTACGATTATGATTATTTGCCACGCATCAGTTTGTTGTGATTTGTCCCCTCTGATTCAGCTCAGAATACCAACGAGGAGTGGAAAATGGTGAATACCAAATATTTGCCGAGTGAACTTGCGAATAAATCATCCACTTTACTTGGTATTGGCTGCTTGCGAAAACAATGTATGGAGCTGCCTTAAAGATGATTATCCAACAGAGAATGCATTCTTTCTCGGTAAGTATCTCGACCCGTCACTAATTATACTTTCAGGTTGGTTGCTTATCTTGTTCTGTTTCTACAACACTATTTTTAAGTGTGTAGATTCATAGAATTCGAACTTCATGCTTGTGTTGTGGCAATAGAACACTCGCAAAGCATGACAGGATATGTTAAACTGTTTTATTTTCTCTCTTAAAAAGGTATCTTTGAAATATAATAATAATTGCAATAAATCCAAACTTTATTATTTAATCTTTTTAAATTTTTCTTTAGCAAATTCTGCTCCGTCTTTCATCCAGTCTTTTAAGCTCCTCCATACTGCATTTACGATTCAGATTGCCACCCCTGGGGTAAGTTGCATCTAATTATTAGATGCGATTAAAATAATCGATTAAGCTCGAGTTTCCAAACAGGGCAAGCCGTTAGAATTCGTCAATCAAGACGAACAGAGTAGAAGATGGTTGAATGAATTTCGGATGAAGTCTCTGTCGGTTCCGATCAGTCTTCGGACGGTCGATCGTAAGTACAGCGATCTCTTTGTTTTGTCTTTGTGTAAATATGTTTGAACTCATGAATTGGGATATATTTAAACTTTGCACAATGATTTTACAATTAAAAATGCTTTTAGAAACTATAAAATTTAATACATACATACGTAAAAATGTTTGTCGTTTGTAACGGCATTGCATACAAGACCTGTAAGTTGTCTCTCTCATGTTTCCACTTTCTGGTAGACGGTTTTACCACTTACTCACACACATTCTGGTTTTCTGACTACAGTTTTTGGAAGATTTCTTTGCTAATCTTGTAATCTCCTGAAGAATCTGATCCACAAGATGTTAGGACCTCAAATCCACAGATTTCGGGGCCTCCAGGGAATGCTTCATTTGCCATGGAAGAAATTGCAATATCATACATAAAACTTTACTTTAAATAAAGCATTTCGCTTTGTAGATGCTCTAAAGATCTTCACTTGGGAGTTTTATTTTGTTGATAATTTTGTGCGCATCTCATTTTTATTAATATTTAATATTTCAATCGCATGCCTTAATTGAATTTAAAAAAGACACATTGCATTTATGTTCTATTCTTATGTTTTAAAGTTTGTGTTTGATTTTTGCCCGATGACGAAGGCTGTACGTCTTTGAAAGTACTCACAGTTTTTAATAAATATATGTTTTTAACATCAGTTAAGTGTGATTTCTCTCCCATATATCATTCCCAGTATGAAGTGAATATTGTTTTTGTCTATTAATAGAAGGAGTTTTCTCATACACAAATTAAGGAACATGATTATACTTTCATTGCCATAAAGATTAGTGCACCAAAAAGGAGTTGTCAGAATTGAACAAAATTGTACGTGTGTGAGTGTAACAGTGATATAAGTAGGCGATTACAAAATGAAAGCAAAAGGATCATTTTATGCAGGAAAAACTACAAAGAAAAGGAGGTTCTAGTAGTCGGCCCACCTCTAGCACGAATACATGATGTGATTTGGTTATGCGTGGAGGCATACAGGTACCATATGGTGTTCTGTGGCATCTCAATCTGCAGTTGCTTGAAATGGTCCTCTAGTTTGGCCAAACTCCTAGGCTGTCCAATTTGGCGTCACGGGTGATCCCAGACGTGTTCGATCGGTGACAAATAGAGACCGGGCAGGTCAGGGAAGTGTGGCAATGTGGCAGAGGCAGTCCTGTGATACCTTTGCTGTGTATGATTGAGCATTGTCCTGTTGGAAAAGGCTCTTGGGAATCTTGCCATGAATGGAAACACATGGCTGCAGGATGTCACTAACATACCACTGGGCTGTCATGGTCCCTTGGATAAATTCATATTAACAAAAGATTTAAAACGAAACTGAATTACTGAATTATTGAACAACCATTTATTTTTCAAGTTTTCTATCAGTTTATTTGTAATAGCAATTATTATGACATAACAGACATTGAAGTAATGCTGATTATTAATTATGTTTTTCTTTATTTTGAAAGGAGGCTTTTAAAAAACATAATACATTTAGGCTTTTGTCGTCTAATCTAGACTGAATTTCCATACAAATGACAGCTACATTAGAAAAAGCTCTCTCAGAATCAATACTAGTTGGACGTACTGTCATTAGAACATTAAAAACCTTAAGATATGTTCCTTGTATTTTTTGCTGTAAGAAATAATTCATTTCTTTCTTAACTGTATCTTTCACACTTTTAAATTTACTTATATTACTGTAATTGGTATCTACGCTTGTTTTATGTTTAACGAATAAGTAGAATTTCTCTTTCATTGTTAAATTCGACTTTTCTATTATGTACTTTGTTCTCTGTCGACGTGAAAAGTTGATGGTATGGTAAGCATCTCTCACCAGAATCTGAGTCTGAACTAATTTCAGTGACATCTGCAGGTCATGATTCATTTTCATTTTCTGATAAGTGCTTGATTATTTCTACAAATCCCATTCAACTGGGTTATTTTCCTGTATTAGACTTCAAAAACAAGATCCGTTTTTGGAGTATAATACAGGGAATCAAGTAATAAACAGACTAGAAAATTCCTTTTAGTAACCTTAAATTACAAATTGGATGACCAATCGCCACCTGCACTGTTTTCTCTGGCATCTCTAGTGATAGAGCATCCCTCTGCAACAGGTAAACTACAGACGGGATGCTTTTGCACGTTAACGCCTTCTGCTGGCATTACGCAATGAGCCGTCGTGCTAAATGAACTCTAATCATTTCCATATCTGCTTGAGACTTATCTTCATGCCAAGATTTTCAGCGATACGACGACTTCTTGGTGCGCTGATTTTTATGGCAATGAGTGTATACTTTGTGGCTTCATACTAAACAACAAATCTTATAAATTGGTATATACTATTTAGGAAAGCTGTAAATTCTGAGAGGTCACGATCCAAACCGTTCCACACGACACGAATATTATACATGTACCAGTTAGTGCTGACCGTTGGTGCAATGAGTATGCTTATAGACCAAAAGTCCAGGCGTCTTTGTGCCTTTATCTCAAAAGAAAATCTTTGGTGTGAAATATTTGACAGAGGTTTTACAAGCTTAACATTTAACACACCAATAACTAGGTTTACAAACATCCCATTTAACTTTGGATCCCTATTTAATCTTAACCTGATTAGTGTTTATTTAGACATTCTGCCTTAATTTTAAAATCTGAAATAACTTAGAAACTCTGACATTATACAAAAAATGTCTCTAGATAAGTCGTCGCCAGCAAAATTATTTATTTTATTTCATATGTTAGTATTATTGGACCATTTGACACAGCTGCATTATGAATTGTAATCGTCATATACTGGTAATTACAGTACACAATGATGATGCAACAGCTAAAATTTCATAACTTTCTTACTTGTAATGATGAAAATTATAAACAATTTGAATTCCGGTTATTGTAACCCATGCCTCATTTAATGTGAGTAGTATGTTTAATCCTTTGAAAACAATATTGACCGAAATATGGACATTCAAAGAGTAAAGAATAATATGGGAAAGCCAAATGGGGACAAAAGCCACAGAAAACCTAACAGTGGGGAGGAGTAAAGGTTACAGATGCTGCAGGAGTGACAATGCTTGGTAGAGGAATAAGTGAAGTTTCCAGTTGAACCCTTTTGTGCACCAGTTCTAGAGTTTGGAGGCAGAATTTGGCTTAGAAAGGTTTTCTTTTGATCTAATTAAATGTGGAATATTTGTGTCAACAGTGATTATTGAGCTGACAAGATTTTCTGTCAATATTCTTCAAATAAAAAAAACCATCACAAAGCCAATTTGTTTTGCATTAAAGAGCATTTATTAACTGAGGTATGAGTTAACACGTTAATTGCCATCTGATGTGCCTGCAGTCGTACCAATCAGGCCCGCACACAGCGATATGATGCACTGGCGGTCGTACTAATTAGGCCCGCAAACAGACATACGACCACCAGCGGTTGGAGCCAACTTTATAGATGTGCGCGAGAAGCCACCACTAGGATGTAAAAGAACGTCTTACGAAGCCAGGATAATTTAACCTTGAGTGAAACTATATAGGTTATAGCAACGTTGGGCAGTCGAATGGCTATGTACGGCCCTAACCAGCACGACCACTGGCATGTCGGATGGCGGTCAATGTGTTAACATATTTAAATTAAAGTTTTGAATGAGTTTGTTTATTTCAAATTAAAAATTTATTATTTTAGATTTGAATAAATTTTTTTCTTTTTAGCAAACAGATATTCCTCTCTGGTCATTCCTCATTCTCCGGGTGCTGCAGCGGATTTGGCGGACGACGCCGATCTGGGACAAATACTAAGACATTTTATTAAAGAGAAAAGTAAGAGAATAAAATTAAGATATCGTAGATAAAGACGTAAGATTGGATCGCGCGGCTGTAGAACGGTATTGTCGGAATCAAAGCATAATACTATTATTAATTTGGGTGTATTTCACATCAGTATGATTCAATCTTTAGTAATTTATTTTGAATTTTATATTTATAACAACAGTTTTTCATTATTTATTAATGTTCATTTTTACCAATTAGAGCCCATTTGTGCCATTGGCATGGGAGTAGCGGGACTGTTCAGTGCAGTGGACGAACATTCTTCTTGGTGTTTTAAACGTTACGTGCTGACTTCGGTGAGTATGTGTATATAATGTAATTGTAGAAGCTCGATGAGTTTGTTTAAATGTGGATTTTTTTTAAAGTACAGTCTTTCTAAATCTGTAGCTTTCGTAAAATACAAAACACTCTGCTGTATTGTATAACAATACAAGACGATAATGCTATATCTCTGTGTTTTTAATTGATCAAATGTTCAACGTGGAGTGGCAATTTTTAAATACAATTCATGCTGTTCACAGGTAGACATTTGGATTATTTATATGTTGTTTTCTTTAGAAATGACACGAGACATTGTTGCATAATTAATATTTAAGATCTATGTTTCATCTGATCAGAGTTCAACAACCATATAAAATCACCCTTTATCAAAAATGATGCATTTTGTATTCAAACTCTGCCAATCCCTCTTTGGGCTAGAAAGAATAGAGGATTCTTTATAAAACTTTAAGACCATAAATTAAAAAAGTAAAATATTTAATTAACGAGGGTCTGATTTAAGAATTTTAATTCTTCTAAGTTTGGCTAACTTTGTTACATTTCTTATAATTTGATTGCGACACCATTCGGTGTTTAAATTAATCAACTTTTCATCATTAGCTATAGCTGTGTGTTCTTTAAATTTTCATAAATAAATTTGTCAGTTGTCTGGTGAATGATTCGACATAACTGTTCATCGTACCCTTCAACAGAAAGTAGGCAATTTGACCATTCTGAGAACCCAGAAATTGGACTTTTCGGGTGACAGTTGAGATGCTTGTATGCATTGGAACGTTTGCAAGAAAGGAACTGCACCTTAGGCCAGAAAAGTGTTGCACGTGTTTTTGTGCCATGATCTTTGTCACATTTCAACCATGCCTTGGCTACATGGGAATACAAAATGGAAAGCTATTTGATAGATTTTCATAGATGTAAAAATATAAATAATTTCGTTGATTTTATTAAAGTTATGTACATGTTATGGTGGCAAATGTATTCTTTATTGGGTCCACAATTTTGTCATTTATTTATTTAGTTTCTACCAAATTGGCTTTGACTGCTTCTGTTTGTTGCCTAAATCAACAAATTATTCTTACCAATCTTACAAATAAACTATCAAGCAATAGATGCAATGTTTGTTGTTCTTTAAACCAAGGGTATCAAACTAGCGGGCTGCATGTGACCCCCCTGATGCGATTTTTCGTGGCCCACGGCCATGATGCTCTGCAATAAAATGAAAAACGGAACAATATGTTACAAAGAAAATAGCTACGACGAGACGGTTACTTTCTATGACTTCATATGTCATATGCTACGATGCACTGGTCAACTGTGGAAGACTAGACCACGGTTACGCACCTCGCCAGTATCTTCAAGCCAATTTCAATCAAAGAGATGCCATGCTTCAAAACTCACTAAAAAGTCTTGTTTTTGCTTGCGGAGCTGTATATGGCGGGTAGGTTGAGCCACCACAGTTGAGGTGCATAACTGTATTTTCTTCGAATTTTAATAAAAGTCATTTGCGCTAGTTTCTTTGTCCTAATCAGGGTGTTAAAGATTTGTGGTTTGTTTTCTTTTATAACTTATAAAATTACACGCATAATTTGCAAAGAAATGCTTAATGTCATATTCTTTAGCGACACTAACTGACATTATAACACTAATCATGAAGAACAGTTTTCGTGCTTTGAAGGAAAAATAAGAGAAGAAAAATTAAAAACAATGAAGAATTCACTTGATAGCCAGCAACGAGTGCTTACAAAATTCATGAAAAGTAATGAATCAGTTATGAAATAAGCTATTTATTAGCAAAACATTCAAAACCATTCATCGATGGTTCTTTAATAATGGAATGTATGATAAAAGCTGCCAAATTCGTCTGTCCAGAAAAGGTACAGGCATTTTGAGATATCGTTATCAAGAAATACAGCAGCGGACAAAATTACGGAAACGGCAGATGACGTCAGTTCACGAATACAAGAAATATTTACCAAAGTCCCGTGCTTTTCAATTGCAATTGATGAAAGCACGGATGTAAGATATGTTGCACAAGTTGCTCATATGTTGTTATTGCAACCACGCAAAAAAAAGAGGATCACCGAAGTATTGTTGGAAAATATCCCTTTTCATGGAACAACTGATGAAGATATTTTTGATGCTGTATGGAGCATTTTAGAAGAATGTAAGCTTCCTCTTGACTAGCTTGTTTCTGTAATAACGAATGGCGATAAATTGATGATGGTTGAAATTAAAGGATTTGTGTCACGACTGACGAGATTAAATTGTACATACGATAATATAAAAAAGATTTATTATGTAGGTGAGAGGACACAAAGTGGTAATTTGATTGGAAAATGTGAAGTCTCCATGGATCAAACGTTGTAAAATTCGCAGAAATCGTTTTCGATAAAGGGCAATTTTATACGATCACAGTCACTGTTTAACTTGGATTAGATGGGACTTCGTTACATAATTAATACTTAATTTGAGACTAAATATAGATCTTGTTTTTGAAGAAGAAAACCTAAAAATAAACATTATACGTGAGCCATGAAAAATCAAAATGTTAATAGGTTATACAAATACATTATTTGCTGTATCGATTAATGAAAGGTGCCAACAAGTTAAGTCTGTATGGCCGATCCAAGCTTCAATGCATTTGGTCAGTGTAGGCGAGGAAACGGAGAACAATTTCTCACTTAGTCATGGGGCTACAAACCTGAATTCTCTATAGTAGTAGGCTTACATTTTCTTACACAATTGCAACAGATGTTTAGTGGAACAAATATATTTTACTATAAAAATCTGTGTTGGGTACATGCACTCATACAGCAAGAAACTCAAAATTATAAAATATAATTGATTCGTGTTTTAGCATTTCCTTCAGTGGGCCCTTAGTTTACAGGATGTCAATGTATAAAATTGGGACTTTTGTAGCTCTGAGCCTCATTTTTCTTCAATAAATGTGAATAACAATTGTGGCATAGTTAGTAAAGCCTATGTCTTCCACTTTCTAGGATGAAGGATCGAAATCACATCATATTATTTTTGTTTAATTAGCTTAATATCCTGGTACGTAAAAGAGACAAAACACATATAGTTTTTGAAACTAAGTTAATAATAACCAAAATAAAACAATATTTATATAAAATATGCAACTCAGTGTGATACAATTCACTGTAAACATTACCATACAGCATTTTGTGTGTTAATATCTAAAGAAATTTGTCTGGATATGCAAACAGATCATTAAATGCATTGTTTTGTGTACGCCGATCATTTTATTTTCCTTTTTTCTCGCCTCTAGACTTCCGTGTTCGAGCTGGCCAGGACCAAAGACTTTGAATCTTCCCCTCTGATTCCGGAAGACGTCATCAAGGAGAAGGGTGCCCGATACAGTTGTGAGTATGTTATCTTTTAAGTTTCACAGACAAAGTGCAGAATGTAACACCACACTGTCACATTTCAGGCACTGAACCCGATGAGGTCCACGTGGTGGTCGACAGGCACCTGATAACTGGACAGAACGAACAGTCGACTCTGGTGGCAGTTCAGAACCTGATACTGTGTAACGAGAATCAAGGGAAAAACAAAGACAGACACTGACCCTTTTTTGTAAATATTTAAAACTTTTGTGTTAAAAAAGTAATTTTTTGAAAAAATAAATACCAAATTATTATTAATTATGGGTTTGAGGGTAGTAAAGTCCATTTGCCATAACTTTATTCATTCATTTCATGCACAAAGTGGCCTCCTCATCCCCACAGAATACAAAATATGTTCTTCATTCATAATAAATTTTGAATCCAAATTAAATTAAAGATTAGACGATAAACAAACATGGTCAGGCCCATGCAAATGTCAATAATTATTTGCAGTACCTTGTTTAAGGAGTGGCCTCCAACCTCCACACAAACACTTAGATCTTAGTGTATTTCCTGATCATATAAGTGTTTACATAATACACAGTTTAATGAATGTTACAACAATGGTCAGAGGTCTGAAGACAAGTCATTTGGCAAAATGTGACCCAGTTTGGTGGCCGGTCAATTCTCCATATCTCGGTTCACTATGTGACAGTATGAGCACGACCAAGAACAGAGTTTCCCTTGAGAGAGAGACGAACATCCAGAAATCACATCTCAGATTTTATGGAAGCTTTTCTTTCTCTATTGGCAATTCAATTCTAGATTATTACTAACTAGCAGATGAGCCAGACATTGTTTGGGCAAAAAGTAATGATAGCGAAGATTAAGATTATTAGATTATAGTCGATCTTAACGGTTTTCACCGGGTGCAAGAATTAGGTCTCCCTCTTCCGAGGGTAATTAGAGAAGTTTTAGATGGTTTAAAAATATGTTTGATTGTTTGAAAAACCGCATCTAAAATAGTACAGTAGAAGTTCTTCAGGGTAATCCTTAACTTTCTCCCTCTTCTAACTTGGGTAATTGATCTGGATGTCTCGAGTACTGAGCAATAAAATACCTCTGTCCCTAATTACAGGCTATCATCTCAGGGAGTTTGTAAGTAAACACTGGAGGAAGTGACGGCCCAGCATGGGAGACACTCATCCCTTTTGACCTGAATTTGGTCTTCCAGAACAGAATGGGAGCCAATACATACAAGAAAGACTTTGGCCGTATATGACGTGTTTAGCTGGCAGAAAAGAGGGTAAGGGAAGGGAAAGAAGGAGGGAGAGGAGATAGATAGTAGAGAAATGTAGGATTCCTCTGAACGGCGTACATATGGCTATAGTACCCTCTATGTTTGATGCTTGCATGCAGTTTTTAGGCTGCAAGTCCTCTGAAGGGTGTAAAAGAAAACCTGAGTGTAGCAAACACAAATAGCTATTTGTGGTGGCACTAAATCAAGTGTAGAAGTTAGTGCCAAGTGGCTGTTAGTAGGAAGAGTTATAACTACTTAATGCTAATGAAACTGAATGTAAATGCAAATCTTAATACTACTTAACAGCTAGACAGACAGCGCAAAAAAAAAAAAAACAAACGAACACGATAACAAACTAGACAAGACGAACAGACAGAGACAAGAGACAAACATGCAAGACCCCAAATTTTTTTTTAAACACTAACTTACTAAACTAACCTACCATAATCTAGAATGAACCTAACCAGAAATCAAACTAAGAGTCCCTAATCTAACTCACAACTACAACTAACTTAAACTAAGTGAATTTAGACTGAAAAGAAGACGGAATATAAGAATTAAAATACAAAGTTGAAAGCAGCTATATACTGACAGCTGAAACAAAGCAAGGGAAAGCTAATTGCCATCTGTGTCCCTGGAGTTGAGTGCTCTCAAAGGCCCCACTAAGGGATATAAATGCGAGTAGATGATGGAACATTGTACGTGTGTGATTGAGTTGATGTGGATTGCAAGGCCAGTTGTACCCTTCTAGAATAGCAGATCTCATTAACTATCCGTAATGTGATTGCACTTATTGCAGCGAAAAACTAAGTGAAGTGGTGTTTGGTCTTCCTGAATACCACAATTGCATTGTGGATTGCTCCCAAGGTTAAATCTATGCAAATATTGCTTAAAGTTGCCGTGTCCTGTAAGTAGCTGAGTGAGGGTGTAACTAGGGTACAACTGGCAATAAATCGAAGTAGTGTCAACCTTGGGGATGAAAGTATAGATGAGCCTACCAGTGGTCATGGTCCCAGCTGTCTTGCCAGAGAATGAAGATTTGCTTTTTGACATGATTGTTGATGTACGAGCCAGGAATGTAACTGAAAGTACTAGTGACTGAAGACGGTCAACGGTCTCGTCACTGAGAATCCCCGAATGACCCAGGACTCATTGGGGAAATCTATTCTAATGTTGTTGTCTAAGTGTCTGAGAATGTGGTGTATGAGATGGACGAGTTTTAAGCGGTTATCAGACTTTGCAATTCTGTGTAAAGCTACCCTACTGTCAGAATAAATGCGATAGTGTAAGTAGTGTCTTTTGTCCTTTCTATGCCTAATGTGAATTAAGCTCATATAAATAGCTAAAGTTTCTGCTTGTGCTATTGAGCAGTGTGTTCCTAGACGGAAGCAAGCATTGTGGAGCTTGTGGCCTAAGTTGGAGTAAACTACAAAACTGGCACCCACATCATCATCCATCTTGGAACTGTCAGTGTAAATCCTAAACATAGGATGATCACCTGGATCTTTCAAGTAAATGTCAGGGGCAAGCTGATGGGAGGGGTGGTAATCATAAGTCAAGAGGGTATTTTTGTCGATGCTGAATTTTTTTGATATCATCGATCAAGGTCAAACTGGGGGGAATCTTACCTACTCTAATCATTTTGTCGACATTGGAGTCGCTATAATCTCGCCAGGGTAAGGCGACGAGATTTTGCTGCCAAATAATGCGTTTATTCTAAGTTGATATGGGCAGTGGTGATATTCAGCGGGTTCGCACAGGTTCGGCCGAACCCGTTGTTAACATTTTCAAAGTTTTCAGAACCTTGTTAAACACATGTAACATTTCTCAATGGTTTGATTCTTTTGAAAATATTAAAATATACGTATTATACTCTGTAACACTACTAAACTAGAGGCTTCCGATGCACCATTTGAGCGAAAAAAAAATTGTTAAGGAAAAATTTTCTGTTAGCGAACCCTTTGTTAAATATTTCGAATGTCATCACTGGATATGGGTCAACCTTGATATTACCAAAAGGGCACTAGTGGGTGTGGTCCTATAAGCCTTACAAATGCAGAGAGCTGCAATCTTTTGAACAGATAACAGTTTTTTACAGTTATGAACCTTGGTGGCCACATGGCCCTAGACCTGTGCTGGCTGAATTGCACTCCTGTAAATTAGCTTAGTAGCATAGGGCCAAAGCCCCATGTGTTCCTAGCAATACTAATGAGGGTGTTGGCCATCTTTTTAGCTTTGTCTGTGATGTATTTGATGTGGAGTGTGAAGTTAAGTCTCATCAAGAATAACATCTAAATATTTAATTTCCATTGTTAGCTTTATTCTGTGAGCATTTATATGAAGGGTAAACTTCCTGAAGAGTGGCATGTTCCTACCAACTATCATGCTTTTGCATTTGTCTGTGTTAATGGGTTGCCTGTGCTTAATACTCCACTGGTGAATGTTATTGAGAATGTCATTGCATATGTCCTGTAAGCATTCACTGTTCCTGTGTGAACCTAGGATAATTGTGTCATTCACATAGCCGTGTATGTGGCAGTCAGGAGGCAGGGTGTTGTTTAAGTGCAGGATAGAGTTATAGGTTATGATCCAGAGACCATGACCAGACCTGGATCCCTGAGGAAAGTCCCGAGTGATGGGTATGATTATGTTATTTTGTGTTGTATAAACACCTGCACTCCTGTCTCCAAGATAGGATTGAAGAAGTTTGTAAAAATTTTGAGGGCAGTGATGAGTGTGTAATGCGTGCATGGTAGAAGGCCACCAGGCGTGCTCAAAGGCACCTCTAAAGTCAATAGTGATTATTGCCGTATACTGATTATTAAGCTTAGCCTGGTGGATGGCATCTACAGTACCTTTTTAGAGAAGCAGAACTGATTCTGGTTCAGGGCTCTACTCTTGCATAGATGCCAAGTGATCCTATTAATCATTAGACCATCTTACACTTTACCCAGTTGGGAGAAGGCAGGTTGGTCTGTATTTTTTGTTCATGTTAATGCTGGTGGCTGAATGGAGGCCAATGAGGGAGAAAGAACAGACAGATTGCAAACAATCAAAATTAACAATTTGAGTCAGAATTGGATAAAAGGGACAGTTCCCTGAGAACAGTGTGTATGTCGTTGATGAGTGTTATTGCTGAGGGAAGACTCTCACACTATCTATAGTGTCATCTCCACAGTTGCAAGGTACTTGAGACCGGTTCATCTCAACAAAAGTGAGACAAACCAGTCTCAGGTGAGTTGACACGATGGAGATAGTCCACTGTGCCAACTCGCCATTTGCCAATCCGGCATTGGCAAGTTCAAACTTACGTCAAGCTAATGCCATTCCCACCTGGACTCTAGAACACTTTGTATGCCAACTTTGTAAGACCTTTTTCCTTCAAAATAAATGTGATTCGTTTGTATATCTGTGTATGTCTGTCTGCCACTGCTACCCCTTGTTTCCATCTCACATCTTCCTGACAGAAGCATGGGAGCAGTAAGCTTACTTTTGAATTTATTGTAGGAGTGTTTAACCAACAAAGCATCAGTACGAAAAATGGGTTATTTTTGTCTCTTACACGAAGCTGTGGGATTATTTGAATAAGTTAATTACCGAAATAATCGTGTACACAAATAGCCAGCTTGGTCCATGAATGTGTACGTCCCATATATATTCTGTCCTGTGGAACAATGATTGTTTTTAATTCTTATCTCAGAGGCCCACTATCTGTTAATATTATTTATTTTCTCTGAGATTATTTGTATCGAACAATGCAGACCAGATGGCAATTCACGAGACATTTTGCAGCCAACATGTTAAATTAAAGGCAACGTCACATTCAAACCTCCAAAATTGGAGTCACTTTTTGTTGACACTGTGCGTGTTTTAAGGATGGTATCTTAAGGTATGACAAAATTTTGCATAAATATGTAAATATCTTGCATATTTATGCAAAATCAACTAACTTCTTCAGAATGTTTCTTGAGACCATCGAACCGGTGGCTCGGGCCACACCTCCCAGCTGAAATTTTACCATTTTCCTAAACTGTGCATTACATGCAAATTAAGGAACCACGATGCAACCGAATAAATAGCAGGTGTTGCATAATCTTAGAAGGTAATTCCAAATAAAAAAAATTTAGTCAAAACTAGCCAGAGTAATTTGATTTAAAATTTTTGCCGAAGCGTGCCGAGTGGAGATCGGACGCGTCATCCAGACGCCACGCTATCGAGCCGTTCGTAATCCCGTCGAACGTTTCGGTCTGGTAAGTAGGATGCGGCAGAACTCGGTATTACTCGTTGCATAAGTGTGTACGTCATGGTAATTGATATTTGATGGAACTGCGAGTGGCTTCGAGCCTTAAGATACCATGCTAATGCACTGCCCTCGATGCACATACTTTCATAATCATCCCAGGGATAGTATTCTGTATGTGCACAATAACTTTAGAAAAATTGAAAAAGACAGACAAACAGATCGTTTGTTAGTAACTTTATTTTTCTCCTAACAAAAAAAAAGAAGTAAACCGATACCCTGTTAATTGTATAAAAAAAGACGTGAAGTTTATACAAGTAAATAAATTGGTAAAAAAAAGAAAAAAATGAGTTTTTATAGTGTTCAATAAAACATAATAATATATATTATGATTTAATATTAACTAAAACAATATTTTGTGATCTTATATCATACAGTTGAGGATATTTTTGTGTCGAAAATCCAAACGGGTGGCACTTTTACTAAGGAAAAAAAAGAATTCTAATGTTTGCTGCCGAGTCGACGGAATGTCGTTTGGTGTTTGTCAAATAGTCTGAGGTTTAGAAGTGTTTTCTAATATACAAATTTATACACAACAAATATTCACAGCCTGTTTTGATCGAGTCGGGGGCCAAATCCCGAAGTGGCGCCTTCTAGTTTCCTTGTTTCTGGTTTGCCGTGTTTGCGTTGGTATCTTCTGCCTGCTGTCGAAGTCGAAATAAATGTTAATAGGGGTGTTCGGGTGATCGAGTGTTAATGTTAACTTACTTTTTGTTCTACGGCAGGCTGCCGCTGTTGTGGATTATATTGAGTGGGCTGGGGTTGTCGTGGGGGCGGGTCGCTTGGGGCGTGAGTGGGCAGACCGTGAGCATTTCCTTGTACTATTTGGACTCCTGGATGTATTCCCTAAATTAAAGAGAACTTATTAAAACTTTTACTGCTCGTTTTACTACAAGTTATTTAAAAATCAATCTACCTGAGCTGCGGGGTGGCGCATTTGAGGATTCTGATTGTTCGGTATTCCGTACTGGGCACCGGGATGGGGTTGTTGTTGCATTCCGGGCATCGGCTGATGAATACCTTGTGGCATCTGCTGCTGGTGAGGAGGATAGCCGGGCTGTGGTATTTGATGTGCTCCGGGCTGTGGCATCTGTTGCATCTGAGGTTGATAACCCTGCTGCTGCTGTGACGGTTGGTGGTGCGCCTCTCCCTGTTGTTGAGACTGATAGCCCTGCGGATGAGCTCCGCCCATCTGCGCCTGTTGATGATGAGACTGGTATCCCTGCTGGTGCGCACCTTGCGGCATTTGTTGCGGGTGAGGCTGATAACCTTGTGGCATCTGCTGTGGATGAGGTTGATATCCTGGATGAGGTGGAGGAACGCCCTGATACTGCGGCATTCCATGAGGCACTGGAGCACCACCATGAGCATTCTGATACTTTTAAAGACAACCACATTGTTTATTTTGTGATTACTTTCCCATATTTAAAATTAAACAATACTTACTCCATAATAAGCATTCAACTTCTGTAACTCTTCTATTCTTTTCTTTTCGTAGGCTTTTAATTCTTCTTCGGTATAAATTTGTTGTTCATCTAATCCCTACAGATTATAAATGGTGTAATAGAAATATTTATAAAGGTCGGCATTTTTAACATTACTTGACACAAGAGCACAAATTTCCTCTAAAGGGCATTCAAAATGCAACTGCTAAACTACCCAAATCACTGTTATATGCAGATATGCATGCTTTTATTGTGTAGTTGAAAATAAATTTGTAATCTTATTGTAGATAAAGTTAATATTGCAACACTACCCCCAAACAAATTATGGCTAATTCCCTTTTAGTAAAAAAAAACTATCCCATAATATCATCCGAGGTTGCAGTCTTTGAAAACTGTTTCATTAGCCGACGCGACGACTGGGCAAGGTAATGAGAACATGCACTTCTTTTTTAACGCTTCTCACAATTGGCATGCCTCATAAATGCTGTAATTCCATCGTATTTAACACTAAATGAGGTTTGACAAATGATGCAATGAGCCAAACGAATATCGTCGGCACAAGTTAACCAAGTTTTGAATTCATTCACTTGAGCCAGATTTTCCGAAATGTACAATTGCGTGTACTTATTCGAGGAAGAGAAGAATCGAACAAATGCATAGATCGATTCATCTTAAAAAATCAATTTTTAAAACTCAAAATGGCAGTAAATTTAACACAGTTATTTTTTACTTAAAATTGTGCAGAACGTATTGTAAAATTTAACATATTACAGCATCGTTTGTGAATCGCAACAAAAACTTATAACGGCTTTCCCGTTATAACTAAACATTAATCATTATAAGTAAATATTAAAAAAAATTTTTTTTATATTTTAAACTGTTTTGCCAAAACTTAAATTCGGCAACTTGTTAAAGATCTTCGTAAGTGGCCCCCAAGATGGGAATTTCAGTTTTGTTCGGCATTTGTTGCCCGGTGTGAATCGAAACCAAGCATTGTTCGATAACGTACAGTATCTGTGAGAAGAAACAAATGTTTAAACAATAATGTACTGTGTATTGTTCTGGGTTGCCACACAAATGAGAAATGTTAGCTATGATTTCAGCAATTTCTATTCCTCGCTATGAATAACGGAAATACATAAAATGAAAATTAAATCAGTTATTTGGCTTAACAAGGGACCACATATGCAATAGAGGTCCCATAAGATTATAACTAAACTGAGAAATTGTAGCCCCCATAACGGCACATGTTGTTGCCAAGCTGTTCCTTGCTATGAATAATCACTGCAACGGCAATGCATAAACAAACCTACAGTGCAGCCAATATATAAAGTGTAAGCAAGACGTTTACGGAGTATTTTTAAACAACAAATACTATAATTTCACAATAAATTAAACCAGTTTTAAGCATGAAAACACACAAATACCACATTTTACTGTACATTTTTATGTTTAGATGCATAAATGTTTATCACCGTGTTGTGTGTCTACTATTCATAAAGGCTATACACAAGTTTATACACATATATCCTATGATGTTCGCGTAATATGTTGTTTAGTGAACGTTAACCTAACCTCCTGTGCATCATTTTAAAGCGCACAACCCACACTCAAATTGTCGTATAAAAAATAATTATATAACTATTCTATCAAAAGATATAAAGAACGGTAGAAATTACGTTATTTTTATGGCAATTGCGGATCCTTAAATGTGATGATGATAAAGGAAAGTTTTCCGGTTGACTTGTTGTAATAATGACAAAATTAGCAATAAAATTTACAAAGAAATAACATCTTTTCATCATCCCTGCAAGAATGTTTGCTTTCCAACCAGTTTATAAGCGAAGCAAATCCTATAGATTAAGAAAAAGAATCCGAACTTACCCTCCACCCGTCGTCCTTCTCGAAATCGGCCCTCTTTGTCATGTCCATGAACTCCTCCTTGCTGATGAGTCCGTCTTTGTTTTTATCGGTCTGTAAATTTTTATAAAAGGATTAGCGATCAAAGATGATTCCATATTTGTGTAAAGAAGAAACAATGATTTGCCTCTTTGTAGACGTGCTCTCTCATTCTATTGTATTCTTCCATCATCTCCTGTGGATCGTCCTCCACGTTGTTCTGAGGGTCGTACATTTTCTTGATCTGTAATGCAAAGTAAACGATTAATTGGAATGAATTCTAAGGATCGACACAAAAGTTTATTACAAGAGATTTTCATTCCATTTTCAATGCATGGAAACTCATCAACTCTATGTTCTGTAGCGTCGTTCCTGTAAGTTTCACAAAAGAAGAATAGAAGACAAAGTCTCGACTCCACTTGCAAATTTCCAGCGGCAGCATCGAACATTCAACAGCAAAGATGTGGAATCTTATTCCATTCCAAGCAATAGCAACTGTCATTACGCAAAGGAGCTGATCGGAAATTGCCAATAGATCAGCCAACTCGATTCTATTGTTCCGAAAGTTGCACGTGTACTAACACTTTATCGACTAATGAAAGTGGCAAGTCTTAGCAAAGCTGCGACAAATATTCCTCCGAAGTGTGGGGAGCCATTAACGAGACATCTGGTGGGATTGTTTCTTTAGTAAATCACCAATATTGATTGCTACTTCTACCGGAAATGTGTGACCGAAATTGAAGCACACAAATTGAATTCATTTATGTTTCGACAACAAACAAAACTGTTTCTCAAATTAGAAATGATCCAAAGATCACTGAATTTTGTAGAGAATAAATAAATATGGTGCTTACCTCTAGACTCAGGATAGCTTCTACTTCTTGTTCGTCCAAATAACCATCACCGTTAACATCTAGAAAAACACATTTATGTAATTTTAATTGAATGTTTATAAAAAACAATATACAAACTTATTAGAAGGAGAACATTATTATTTCAAATAATAGTCCTGATTAAATAATATAAAAATCACAACAGAATATGCTTAGAGTAAGATTTCAACCTGCAACTTGAGACTATGGAATATGCAGAGGCATCATCCATCCCTACCAACTGTTCTATGTTTTTGTGGAAAACACTAGGTCACGACAGCTGGTATAGCCATTTTTTTGTCTTTGGGTTGTACCTCATCACCTGTTCTTTTGGAAATGCTCCTCCAGTTGTGGGAAAATAAGGCGGAAATTTGAAGGGGCCAAATATGGGTTGTCGGGAAGTTGAGCCAAAATCTCCCACTTTCACTCCAGCAGCAACAAAACCGGCTTTCAATCTGCAAGTATTCATCGTCTGGAGATGCGCACTACCTAGGATGTATGACAAAACGAGCAAGTGTTTCTCGATAAGTGTTGGCATTTGTTATCATCTGCTTTGGAGAGAATTACAATTGTAAATGGTTGTGTAAGTGTTTAAGCATACAGCACACATACAAAACATCCAGCTGGAGCTATTTGGGCAACAGTATAGGTTTTCACAAATTTCACGTTTTTGTGTGAAGTGTTGATGTGTGTAACCTCCACAAATATAGACTCAACTATATTGTTACTTCTTGTGTTGTTATTTGTCTCTGTCTGTCTTATGGGCACTAAAGAGGCATTTTTAAATCATACTTTTTGTTAATTTGGCTAGGATCTTCAATGGGAAGAGCTGGGTGATGAAGCACAAAGTCTAATATATTTTGACCAACCATGAAAAGTTTCTGGTGAGTTTTTGTCCAAGTTCAATCCTGCGGTGGGCCAACATCGTAATCATCTCAGATATCCGACCATCAATTTATAATTATGGCTTGTAAAATTTCACAATCCCAATATCAAGAACATTGCCAAATGTGTTTGAAGGATTAATAATTCTAAAGACATTGAACTATAGGATGCTTTTAATAAGTAGGTTAATCTCAATTGACACTTACCGTGCATGGCAAAGAAGACTCTTGGATCAAATTCGTTGCCCTGCATGTGATCCTGCTCTTCCCACACTTGTTCCAATTGCTGCTTACTTCCCTGAAATAGATCAAATTTAGTACGGACGTCAACGGCAACCTAACCAAAGTAACCTGGCTTACGGGATGATGGACTTTGGGATGATCCTTGTGTTTCTTGAGCATTTCTTCGTGTTTCTTCATTTGTTCGGCCTTTTCGCTCTCGGACATATTTTTCAGGCTCTCCCGGAATTGATATTCCTTTTCTAACTCGTACTGTTTGAATTCTTCTCTCCGTCTCCTGTCTAATTCTTCCAGATCGCGCGTGGCCTGTGTTAAAGAAGTTTGAAAGAGTTTATTCATCACCAAATAAATAATAATCATTTTAAGTTTGGAGAACAAACATCAAAATTAAATACAGGATTGTAAGAAGTAAGATATAGAATTTATTTAAACAGAATAATTATTTAAATAACTTCTACATCTGTATTCAATATAAAGAATGTCCACATTGATATATCTTTTGTAACACTACACACTCAGCAAAGTTGCAAAATGTCACGATGGATTCAACAATACCAACAATCTTATGTCTCAACTTTGGCAGGCTTGCAGGTAGCGATGGCAAGTGCATGCGATCTTTTACATACTAAGTCACACGGAGCGAGATTTGAAAACCTTGTGGGCCATTGTATTCCAAGGACAATGGTTCCTGAAGGTTCTACACATGGTTATACGCAGTGGTGATTATTCAGCGGGTTCGCACAGGTTCGGCCAAACCCGTTGTTAACATTTTCGAAGTTTTCCGAACCTTGTTAAACACACGTAACACTTCTCAGTGGTTTTGTTTCTTTTAAAAAATATATTAAAATATACGTATTATACTCTATAACACTACTAAAGTAGAGCCTTATACCCCGTTCGCCTTGGTGCAACCTCCCTCGACCGTTTCAATCACACTCGACTCAAGAGAGTTCTTGAAACTAGATCCAGCATAAGAGAGATCCCACAATCCCACATGCGCGANCTAGATTTAGTCATAAGAGAGATCCCACAATCCCACACGCGCGAGAAAATACAAGATGGCTGCAGAACACGTGTCGGGCTATCAACAGTGAAATAAAAAAGATATTGTATTTCGAGAGATGATGACATCTGTCTATTATTAGATATACCGCAAGAAAAAGTATTGTATTTATTTCTAACCAAAACTTCCATTTTGTTTGTCACAAAGATATCGCTAAGGTCACTTGTGATCTTAGAGATATCTTTGTGGCCACTCATGTAGCCATGCCTGCCACGTAAAGCCTCAGACAATCTTTTACAAACACCTCGTATATTAATTACTCCAGCATCAGTCTAGACCATCTCCGCGATAAAGTTCAAACTGCTCACACGTGTATAAACATTTCTATCAATTTTCGAATAAAGATACAATCTATCATCATCTAAATTCATGCTCTTTCTATATGTAGGAAGCTTTTAAAATATAAATCCAGGAACAAAGATATTTTAGGAGTTATTAGCGACTCCCCAAATCTCTCAAGTATTTGCTTCTTAAGATTAAATTAAAATGTAGTAATTTATAATTTACTACTGTTTAACTGCACTGTAAGTTATTACACATCTCTTCTGTTGTTTATCAGTTACTTTTTAAAACTCCACACTGTGAAGTTTTAAAAAGTATTAACCATGCAATTTATTAGCAACTACTGATGAAACAATGATGATTGCTTTAATCTAGAAGCAAGAGGCCACGTATCCGATCTCTCCGTTTCCTCTGTACTTAGTTTGTGTACATGTTCTAGTTCTATATGTTTCAAACTCGCCTAACTTTGTGCGGCTGTACATTGTGTTTGACAAACTCAAATTCCTTGGCCACGTCTCCGCTCTAGAATTAAAAGACAACGAATTAATATTTCGGTTGCAATCGTCAGCACACTTGGTAACTAAAAATGCTCTAATTGAAGGCAGAGTTTTCTATCCCATCCATTTTGAGGTAATGATGTTCCGGTGCAGAAACAATTATACAGAGTGTTCCTTTCTAATGTCCCTAGTTTTGTGGATTAATTTTGCAGGAAGGGGAAAAATGGGAGTATGGTAATGTATACAATGAATATAGAAAATGCATCTAAAATGTTAGCTAGTACATTAAATCGGTTCATTTCCACATACGCTCCCAAAGTGCCTCAGATCTGTACTTGAATTTGGCACACATCTGAGTCTGCACGTTAAAGAGTCATGCCGTTAATGGCATCCGATTCTTGTACGTGGGGCTCTTGTGTTTGGCATTTTTGTATGAAGGCATGATCCTTGACAAGAAAAAAGTTCAAAGAGATAATGTTGGGTGATCAAGAAATGGAGCCTTGGCATCTAGACCATGCAGCAATGGAATTTTCAAGTTTTTGTACATAGAACTTTATTCACATACACGAACAAATGGGCTTTACAGAACAATTTTAAAATTACAGACAATTGAGAGGAACACCTTGTTTGGTTTTGTTTTATTCATATACAGCAACGCAATACACGGGTGATCTGCTGAGGAAATGCCTCCCGGGAGATCTTTCGCGGGAAACTCACAGGGCTGTGGAGTTCTGGTGTTTTAGTCTGTCGTCAAAAATCCACCAAAACTGATTCCTTATTATTCTCTCAACTTGTTACGTATATAAAATGGAAAAGTATAGGAATTGTATCAAATTTGATGCTAAGTTTGTTTTGCAAATCTACATGTTTAGAGACTTCCCAAACCCAAAAATGTCAAGTGAAGAGAGAAAATTTGTATGGGGGCATCCAATTTGATTAATTTCTTTATTCTCTGTTCTGAGATATTAAACAATGTCTCAGAATGGACAAAGTGTTTAAGAAATGAGATTTTACATGGTAACTTGTGTATAAAGGGGCATTAATGCTATTAAATTTTGGTTCTTAATTAAAGGTCGACAGAGTGGAGATATAGAAGGGGTCACGTGTCATATCTGCAGTGTGGTCGGACTTAATATTTTACTTGTTATTAGTGTTCACAATTTTTTTTTTATAAAACTCATCTCTACCCTTAAGCTTTTTGTAATTTTATAATAGTACAGTAAAACCCGGCTACAACGTTCTCTCCCGAGATGTTTTTTCTCCTAAATTGTTCAAATTCTGCAGTGATTTTGCACATAAGCGGTGGCGTCGAAAGATGTCGCCGGCCCAGGGGAAAAATTTACACGGACCTCCGGAATGATTGAAAAAAGTTGCAGAATGAAGTCTGAATTCTCGTAAATCTTTGGCCTGGGAAATTTTACCCCATTTTCCCACTCTCTCATGGGTCTTGCCCATAACACGATTGTTAAAACTTCCTGCACAGGATGTTACAAAGTATAGATTCCACAAAGCAATTTTTACCTGCTTAAAATGATCACGTCGGCGACCAATACTGTTTTCCTTAGAAAATGCATGCACAGGAATCCCGTACTCTCAACAGAAGAGCAGCACAACATTCTATATTACCGAAATTGGGAGTTAATATCAAAATTTATGAAGTTAATTAATTAACAACCCAATTCTAAGAAACAATACAATTTTGTATTTGAATTCAAAAATTATTACCGACCGAAACTTTTGCCATTCCTGCCAAAGATGTTCTGCTTAACTCAATTTTTTGAGCCAGTCCTTTCAAAAATGTCTTTAACAGGGTTTTTTTTTTTACTATAATGTAAACTTTTTTTAGTAAACTCTGATAAATGATGATGCCACATGCAACTTTAATCTTGTCGGAAAGGTCAGGCAACTCCAGTAGTGTGTTATAGCTTAGTGGGGCTTGGGAAAATTTGAATTGGGGGCTCCGTACAGTGTGAACTCGAGACATATTTCTTCGAAGGAACCGACGCCCGTGCCACACCGGCAATTTAGAGTCCCCAGATATGGTGCCTAATTTAAATTTAGATTTTCTTATTACAAGAAAGTACTTATATAATTTATATCACTGTCGCAGTAATTTAAAAAAATAAACAATATTTTCAATTAAATTATATCTTTTTTTAATAAATTATTAGGTTGCAGTAATTCAAACACAAATAATTATCGTATTTATCTTCAGGCACTTGGCAATACTCATCATCAAGTTTTATTCAGTTGATACGTGTTGTTATTAGGTTGCAATTTTCAAATTGCAGACCTATACATTAACAATGTTGTCTGCTGCCTGTCTACCCTTTGTTAATCTCAAGAACAGAGAGAAATAGATGAAAATTGAGAGAAGATATGGAAAGTTTTTGGGCCGAAAACCTCAATTAACAATACAAGAACTTTCGATCGAGACTGGCAGATCGCCCTCATGTTGAGTTGCCGTAATCCGACTAACCAAACCAAATCGGGTGAAAACAGAAACTAATTAACATATAGAAACTAAATCAATATTTAAGGACAATATTACAACAATGTCTAATTTAGAGGTACAGTAGACCCACCTATAACACGGGTTCTTATAATTACGATTCCTACAAGACGGCGAAAACATTGCGACGGTATCCGTACAAACCTGGTAAAAAAAAACTCCTATAATTCGGTAAAACGTCATCGGGCAGCCGAACTACTTTCCGCCGTCCAGCGCCACGCTACGGAGAGTTTAGGCGAGTAAGTTGTATACTATCGTCTGTACAGTATGTAAATTAGGTACTGTAAGTCTAATACAGTACTATACTTTTATACATTTCTTGTGAAAGAAACATTTCTTATTCAACGGCCATAAAAGTTATTTATATTAATGATGTCTCCAAAGTTCAACGAAGTTTTCACAGAAAAATAACTTATCAGAAATCGCCTGCCATTTGGTGCGCTGCTCCGCGACGAAATCAAGCTTGAGTAATGGCAACGTCGAACGGTGCACACTCAGTAAGTAATCCTACAATTTTTTGTTTATAGCATAGTTTATATGGATCATTCCCAAAAAAATTATACATATTTTGGAAATGTTGAGTCAAATTAGTCTAGAATCGATTAATTTTATGGACGAAAACCTTTCAAACAGCTGTAGTCCGTAAACTTCACACGTGTCGGGCTCTGATTGGCAAGGACTCGTACAAAATTGATTCATAAAGAACGGAACGTATCTACCGTGTTATCAGGGGAGGGGTCGACTGTACGTTAATGTAACTGCTTAGTTGCAGACCAGTGAAACAGTCTAGGCGTGCATAGTAAACAAACGTACATCCTCATTTATATATATTAAAAATATATCAGATTTAAACATTTTTTACTAGTGAAAATAAAAACTGAACACAAACCGTATCTATGATGAATCAAGACTCAAAGAATAAATCCTCACAATAAGTGAAGATATATTCTTTATAGAAATTCATGAATATTTCACAATAAGTGAGGAAAAATTACTTTTTGTATGTCATGCAAAGGATGATGATGATAGCGAAATCTTTGGCCAAAGCTTCCTGCTTACTGGGGAAAAGGAACTTAATGTGCCAAGTAGAGTTTCAAACACAAGAAATCATATACAATGCCATCATCCTAATTTGTTAAAGATCATCGCCGACAAAGATAACAGCAGAAATAAGTAAAGAGAATTAAAACAAGAGAACTGTTACAAGCATTACAAGTTGAATGAAATTATTATGTGGATAAGACGGTACGTTTTATACAAAATAAAACAGTGTTGCAAGGTAAATCGTTATTTTATATTATTATTGAGATTAAAATGATCCAAGTCTGTTGTACAAATGTACTTACCGCTTTCATTAATTTTCTCAGATCTTCAATTTCAAATGTATGCTTGTTATCTACGTCCAAATGATGAGGCACTTTTATATGTTTTCGATTTATTCCTAAAAGTAAATAATCATTTTAATTATTAAACTTGAATGGGGATTAAAATTACGGAGCACACTGTTAGACATTCAAATTTGTTCACTGTGTTAAGTGTTAAAGTGATTCGACCAGTGCAGCAACTACCAAAAATTGAAGCTTGTATCGAACCTTTAAGTACATTAATGTGGGAAAGTTTCCGACACCGAAACAATTCTAGCAAAGAGATATATAAAAGAGAAGCATTAAAAAAGGAAAACCGGCCAACCTTCACCGTCACCCGCCGAGGATATAGTCCGCCACCTACGACCGTCGATGGACGGCGGAGCTAAGTGACCATCTTCGTTTCTGTACAGACCTAATTCCAATCTCTCCATCTCCTCTCTACTTAGCTTACGCAGACGTTCTAGTTCTATACGTTTCAACTCGTCTAGCTTCGTGCGAACATTGTGTTTGACAAACTCCAATTCCTTGGCCACGTCTCCACTCTAGAATTAGGAGGCAATAAATTAACTTTTTTGGTATCTAAAATCATAAGTGCAGGTTTGTTACTATACTCACTTTAATTTGGTCGGTGGAAATATTTTCCAACTTCTTAGCAAAGTCTTTATCCTCCTCCAGAGCCTGAACGACTTGCTGGAGGTAACGTCCGTATTCTAACCCCTGTAAAAAGGCCCGGAAAAATCAAAATTTTATTCATAAAATCGAATAAATTATTTGCCGAAATGCACATTGATTATAACAGAACTCACATAATCGTCCAATTCATTTCCTTCGTCTTCCTCATGCTCCTTTTCTTTTTCTTTCTTTTTCTTAGGGTCTACGGGTGGTGCGCCGACCAGATGAATGGCCAAAAGTGCGAAAATAAGTAGAAAAACAAATTGTGACCTGTTCATATCTAGAAAACAAACAAAAAATAGGCATGATTAGTATTTCATACCATAAAACAACCACTACGAATGCAGTTATTATTCAATCTTATCTCTCATGGAAAGGTACACAGGTAGTAAAAGAGGGCCAGTTTTCTATGTCCATTATGGATTTGGTTGGGCCTACAATGAGTGGCGAGGGACGAGACTCAACATATCTAGGATGAACTACCCGAGTTTGATCTGGAGCTGCAAGCCAACACCTTAATGACCTCGGCAGTTTGGTCATTTGTTGTGGCAATGGAGGAGTGTTTGTTTTATCATTGATATGTTAAAGAAAACACTCGAGAGATTTTAGAAATCAGTAATTTGTTAAAATAAAATGTTTCTGGATGTGATTACGGGTAGGATGACAATTGACGTCTCGATTGTCAATTGTCACCCTACCCGTAATCACATCGACATTACGGCTTGCTGCCACTCACAAAACAGATTAAAGCAGAGATCCGAATGAATTATCGACCAAACTTTAAACTTTAATTATAAAATTTAATAACAAACAATATTAAATTTGTAAGAGATATTCCAGACTCAAAATACAAGATTAGAACGGAATAATGTAATTTGAGTTAAAAAATCTGCAATTATGAGTGAAATTTGAACTGTTATGTACGAATTTATTAAGGAAAAATATGCTATTCTGTAGAGAGCGAAATAGTAGATGTAGGTAAAAGAATAGTCATTGTAATCAAGTTCTATTTTAGAAAACTCGTATCAAATATCAAAGACTCTAGCAACATATAGGATTTTTAACCGACCGTCGAGAGCACCACCGAAAACATATTTGCTTTAAATTCGGCAAGTGGCTTAATTAAATAATAGTCTTTATGTAATGGAGTTGCCGTCTAGCCGAATTTACAACCAAATTTTTAAAAATATATTAAACAATCCAACATGCTAAAAAAGAGGAGTCGTCATTTTCTTACCAATTTGAATTATTTAATAGTATTCTACAGAGTCGGTAAGCATAAAGTACATTATACTATTATTTAATGAGGAAAGGTAGAAGAAAAGTTGATCACTTTATTTTTAACTTTTACACATTTAATAAGATTTGCATTATAAGCAGGGCTGTGGAGTCGGAGTCGTGGAGTTTTGATGTTTTAGCTGGAGTCGGAGTCGGATGGTAAGGAAAAGTCGGAGTCAGAGTAGGTAGATTTTTACGCGACTTCCACAGCCCTGGCAGGGCTGTTGAGTCGGAGCCGTGGAGTTTTGGTGTTTTAGCCGGAGTCGGATGATAAGGAAAAGTCGGAGTCGGTAGATTTTTACGCGACTCCACAGCCCTGGCAGGTCTGTTGAATCGGAGTCGTGGAGTTTTGGTGTTTTAGCCGGAGTCGGATGATAAGGAAAAGTCGGAGTCGGTAGATTTTTACGCGACTCCACAGCCCTGATTATAAGAAAGCACAAATAACTCTAAATTTCATAATTCTTAAAGCTTGTTAACAGAAGAAGTCCATTGTTAAGTGTCTTTTCTTGAATGATAAAAGCAGATGTGATAGAATAATTTGCATGTTGCCCTCTAACTGCATACATTTAAATTAATTTAATTCTGAACTAATTCGTAAATTTGCAAAATTCTATTTAATAAGTATCCCAAAAATTGTTCTTTCTTTTACAAATGAAAAAAACTTACATTTTGCAATGATGCAGTATGTAATTATCATTAAAACTAGTGAAAATTATACAAAATTGTACCAATTCATCTGTAATAGTAGTAAATTCGGTAATTTGAAACAATACATTAGTCTTCCAAACATTTCTAATGTTCAATATCCCACCTATCTGAGTCATTTCAGACTAATTAGACTATTTGTGTTCTAGTTTCCAAGTGCTCCTTGAGTGATATAAAGTACCAGAAATGGTATTAAGCACTTGGGTTGCATCAGGAACAGTTGGAAAACCATAAACTTAAGCACCCTGGTTAGCCTGAGTGACGTAGATATATATATACAGTCAAATGACAGACGTTTAAAGTGCCTCTGACTACCATTCTGGAGAACAACCCTCATCCTCTCTCATTATGGGCATGATTGGCAGGAAAAAACAAAGTTAGTAATGCCTACAGGGTAGCTAGAGGGGGAAAACCCCTGATATGTGTGGACGATGAACTCTAAAATACTCAAAAGACCATGTACAACGTTTACCATCCATATAAGAGTATACAGTTGCCTAAAGTCCGTGTGTTTATACTTGATATTTCAAACAAATCAGGCATCTCAGGTATTAGACATCATATCTATAGTTACATATAGAAGACCAGATATAAATACAGGTATTCTAATCAACATAAAAAAATACTATTTAACAGACACTTATATCTGATACATTCATGATTACACAGCAATTACTATGTGACATTAAAAAAACAACACGATATCTGAGAAAGCAAGAATTAATTTAACAATTAATTTAGTTGACTATTTATAAATTTAACTAATATACTACATATATACTTATACAGGATTTAGGAAGGAAAATATGGCTTCAAACAGAATTTTTATTGAATGATTAATTAGAATGATTTAGTATAGAGAAAGAGCATCGTACTTCACTTCAATGACTCAACACAATGATACAATTTCCATTGTGTTCACCCTCTCTACTGCATTCTAACATCAGCTACCTTTTACAAGTGTCCATTTTCAAGTATGGGGCAGGAGACACAGAGAATCTACAACACAGCTGTGGCTATTTTTGAAACCTTAGAATTATACTCGTACACCCGTGTGAAACTCGTGTAGTCATCTCCTTACCGTACCTGCACATGCCAACGGATGCTGATTGGTTTTAGTCAAAAATTAGACAACACTACATTGCTTTCACTTCGTATACTGCTGGAGAGCAACTGCAGTTTAGTCGGTCTGTCGTCTTATGCTCACGCGCATCAACCATTACCTCTTACTTGGAAGTTTTTTTATGTTAAATTTACTTCACTATTGTTCACCCTCCTGACTTTTCCAGTTTTCTATTGAAAGTGCCTTGTATTTTTAAAGCCTCTTTCATCTCATATAAAGATATTTATATATAAAAAGAAAATGTTGAAGTAAAACTTGTTTGACTTAAATCTTGTCGCAATTACTTTCTATATTTAAATATTATGTCGCTCTAGGCTGATCTCTATTTCTCTATCATACTTGTGCCGATCTCCACCGCGCAAGAAATAAAAATCTATTTTTAGCAATAAAACAGATATTTTTTTATTTACACTCAATAAACAAGCATCTGCTTGAAATTTAAAGATGCACCTACAAATTTAAAATTGGGGATAGATTTTTGTGGCGGTTAGGTGCACAGGACTCCACAAAAAGGAAACATAAGATAACAACAGCTAGTATAAGCTGTTGTTACATAAATATCCTGTAAAAGTAGAGAATGTTATAGTAGAATTTGCATGGGCATTAGTCAATAGGGTAAAATTTTACCTACGTGCACCGTCACGGCAGTGGTCGCGACTGTTCTTGCTACCAACAAACTCCTCCCGGAGGTGAGCCGCCAACAGGCCACCGATCGTTTAATTGTTTAACGTCACTAGTTATTGATACGTGTGTTCAAGTACTACCGTGAATCAATAAATAGCGACGTTAAACAATCGGCGGCTCCCTTTCGGGAAGAGTCCGTTGGGAGAAAAAACAGTCACAACCGGCGCCACGACGGTGCACATACGTAAAATTCTACCGTCAATAGCAAATGCTCCGGAACTCTAAATAAATCTGTCCCCGGTTTCAACAAAGAAGCTACGAATGCCACTTACCATGCGACTAATCATCATAAGTAATTTTATATTCCAAATATAGTGGGAAATAAGATATATTACTTCATAAATAGAATATAAACAATTAAAATAAATGAAATGAGGACACAGCTTGAAGAAAATATGTAGTAGTGTAGTATATAGTATTAAAAATGCTATAAAATTTAGGATTTTCCATGTTTTAGGAGTTATTTAGCCATAGAAGTTGTGTTTCACGCAACTTTAGCTTTAATTGCATCATGCCGTGTCAAGGGAAAGGTAATTTCCTGTGCTGATGCAAGGTAAATGGGGCATGGGTCACGGTTCTCAATAAAATTTAAGTTATTTAAGAAATTTAATAATTATATTAGTAAAATAACGCTTAAAATAAGTTATAATTACTATTCTGTGTTCGATAAATACGTTAGTAGATAAAAATCGACGGAAAATTACAAGAGAACAACACATCCATTACCCACCTGTAAGTTTATTCTTCTATTTCTAATAACACGTCAGTCCAAACAGGAAACGGATATCGAAGCCACCTGCCGGATTGAAACGAATTTAATTTATATAATCATTTTTTTTTTTAATATTTAAATTTTATATTAGATGGGTGAATTTTTTGTAGGGTTAATATCAATAAATTATTTTTGAATGTTTATAATATTTATAAAATAATTTTAAATAAGAAAACGTTTATAAACCACGTAGATCCCAACTTAGGAATTTTCCTTGTAAATTTAGGGAAAATCAGTAGAATGAGAAAATTTGGTATACAGTCGACCCCTATAACACGGGTTCCTATAGTTCGGATTCCTATATCACGGCGAAAAAATTGCGATAGTATTCGTACAAACATGCTAAAAAAAACTCTTATAATTCGGTAAAACGTCATCGCCGACTCGTGTCGCGACAGGATTGGTCGAATCAGAGTCGGTAGATTAACTGGTCTTTCGACTTCCTATCTTCGCTCGTTGCTAGAATCAACTAGAGACAAATGTTACCACCAGGGGCACTGCAATCACTACAAGACCGCTAGATCGAATCCCTGTGAGGTCGAATGTTTTCTTTTTATTGAAAGATATATAACCTTCGAGTTCGATTTCATAATTTTTTATATGCATTTTATTATAAGAATGAAAAAGCTTTTATTTAAACCCAAAACCAGGTTTATGGATAAATAAATGACACTTAATAAAACATTAAACACCTTCTATCGCTGAGAAATGTTTATTTAATAAAACACTAACATTTTCAGCCTCATGGAATAAACTATCCTCAGGTGTAAATGAGTTCGAACGTATTTTATTAAATAAACATTTCTCAGCGATGGAAGGTGTTTAATGCTTTATTAAGTGTTTTAAAAACGCTGATTTTATATTTAGTTAAATAAATGACAAGGAACAAAACTGACACAATAGTATTATTATTATTAAATTGTGCTATTATGTGAATTTATTATACGTTAAAAATTTATTGTACATACAAACAAATTATATTATACATATTAATAATAATTATTATTATTATTATTTGCGTTATTAAAATTTACTTTAAGTGAGAAATTTTTCTATGGTTTTTACTTTCAACTGATGAAATAAATGATTGATTAATCGTTCGCGTGAAAAAATGCAATCGACAAGTAACAAAAAAGTGCAAAAATCTGGAAGTCAAGTAGGACTTGTGACCAGCATTGTCACATCCTATCATCAATGTAACAGAGCACTGATTTAATATATTATCCATTATTGAAAAATAAACATCCATGTTTGGGTTTGTTAATTTTTCGCATACTTTGCTTTCTGCCCAGTACATCAATTGGCAAAGCTTATAGCTTGGATATAACAAACCTCCTCGAGATTTGATGAATGTAAATGTCTTCTCTGGTGCAGCATCCTCAGGTTTTGCTGTTAATATATTTTTGCATTCATCACAACCGAGTGATGGCAGTAGACGATAAATAATATAACCTCCTAAATAATGTAGGATAAACTTAAATGTTTCTGGTGTACAATAATCATGATCTAATAATTCACTATCACTAGGATCTCCATAGTATAGACTTGGATCACAAAGCAAATTTTCTAAATGTTCTTCCAATTGTTCTTGAACTTCTCTGAATGGTTTTTTATGACTATGAAGAAGATTTTTTAAAGTAATAAGCATAGATCCTGGATCAGTTTGAACTGATGCTCGTTTGGGAGGACGAACCAAACTGTACACAGTCATCAGTCTGTACAGGTATAAGAACTGTACTGTTGTGGGATGAGAATTGCTTCCACTTCCTTGTCTTATCATTCCAAAGAAACGCTAATTGAAAAGAAAACATAAGTTAAGGTTTAATACAAGATTATATAATCATTACACTAAGTCAATTTTACCTCTAATGGGTCCTGATTAAAGTGAGCTGTCAGGATATAATATGAGTTTGGAAGCAATTGTCTGACGAGTGCTAAGATACTAGTCAGCGTCAAGCGTAGATTTTCTGCTGTCTGGTGGCTCAAAAATCCCTTTTGATCAGTGCTTCTAATCTGTAATCTGAATGCTTCCCATCTATTTAACCATTCTAGAGATTCTTCAATAACCTATTTTTAAAAAGTTGTTAATTAAAACATTTATAGTTTTTGCTAGTGAATCATTACTATTACCTTGAGATCATTTGAATCATGTCTGATTCCTTCCTGTGGCAATCTACGATTTAAAGCATCAAAAAGAGCATTGATGTGACGTATGAAACTTATTGTAACATCTGCATTCTTTAGGATAGCAACCTCACGCTGTTTATAAAACAGCATAGCATCAGCAAAAGTATTACTAAATATCTATAAATATATGAGATAAATAAAAGTATTCTTATCAAGTCAAGATTATATAAGTAAAAAAAAGTGTTACTTGAGCTGCCAGCAATACACTCATTCTCTGGAAGTTATTGGGATTAACATGTATTTCTGTCACTTTGGGACATGCCTTTAATCCCTTTGGTAATTTGGAATCTTCATCAACAACTGCTTTAAAATGCTGTAATTCTACCCTTCCTTCAGGAAACTAAAAGTAAAAATGCAGAATAATGCAATGGCTTATATTATAAATTAGGTGAAAACACTTTATTTTCTTAGTTTTACCTGAAAGTATGTATTTTTCAAAAGATTGTTTCGCATACATTTTAAAATATGTGGTACATCAATAATAGCCAGTACTTGTCTATCTGCAGCAGGGTTTGTAAATGAGCATTGTATATTATTTGTGTCTGCACAAATTCCTAGAGCTTTTAAAGCTGCTTTGTTTGTGCTGGCACCATCACAAACTATTGCATTGACTATTGCACCACACTGTTCTAAATGAATAATTGCTTGCAAAATAAGTTTTGCAACAGTAGAACCTGAGACAGAGCTTTTTGAACAGAATGTGCCAATACATTGTACCCAACTAGCAAAGTGAGGTCTGAACATAAACACTAGGCCATGATCACCTGCTGTAAATTCACTCTGTGGCAATTCAGAATTGTCACCATAATCAACAAGTCCAATCATTTCACCAGTAGCTTTTGAAAGTTCTATATGTTTTTGAAGTGTGATTTCATCAAAAATTAAAACTCCCTGGCGTTCTGTTTGTGGAATTGTCTCCAATTTTGTCTTTAAAACAACAAAAAGATCTTCATCAAATCCAAATTTGGCATTAATGCCTCTGATATATTGATGCAGTGTAGACTGACAGGGTAAAGGCAAGTAATCATTATTTCTCAAAAATTCATAGAGAGATGGTGACCTAATTTTTAAAAGTAAACAGTCAAGTAACCAATTAATGTCATATCTCATACCCTTTTTGCTTTTTATATGGCATGCTTTCAGCATGTGCTCTATTATAAGTTTCTGTCTTGGTGGTAAGGAATCAAGTTTATCAGCTGACAACTGTTTCATTTTAAGTTCAGTATTTTCTTGATGAAGCTTGAGATTTTCTGTTTGAAGAGTTTTCAGTTTCTTCCTATAGATCATCTTTTGCTTTCTGCACCGATATAAATCCTCTTTGACTTTTAACAATTCAGACTGCAAAGCAGAGATTTTATTGACATATAACAGCTCAGGATGCTGTGTAGTTGCAGCTTCAGATGTGGAGGGTTCTTCTACTTCCTTTTCTACAGTTGTTACTTGGGAGTGTGTATCATGCAAATCTAATGATTGATAAAAAAAAATATCAGACAATTAATCTTAAAGTATTTATAAGGAAAGATGGGCCACAGAGAGATAACCCTCAGTGAATCACAGTGGATCTCACAAACCCAGCTCAATCTTTACTTAATTTTTAAATATAAAATGTTCCTTAAATATAGATAAAATAGATAGATAGATAAAATTTAATTTTATATTAAAACACAGGGTCCGAGAGACGCACTGCGACTCAGGCAAGGGCAAAAAATTACATGACTCACTGAGGATTAAGATTACATAAAAAACATAAATAGTTACCTTTGGTATTGTCTTTTTGTGATCCCTTCCTAGATGGTTCTTCATTTCTTGTGAGACATCGCGTTGATCGTTTTTGAGGTACAGACCTACTAATGTACTTAGGACAATTAGGGAAGTTTGATGGATATGCATCCGACGTTAATGCCCAGCGATCTCGTGGAATTTCTACTTTCTCTCCATTTATAACATGGGAGAAGGTTTTTAAAATAAATCTACTCGCAAAATGTACGTCACAAACGTAACATTTATTTGTTAGCATCTTGTCGTCTCGTGGAATGCATCGCATCCACTCCTCAATCTTATCGCTAGGAGCACGGAAGAAATGTCTCTTCTCGTTCGATGACTTATATCCTGCCTTGCATCCTGGCACAAAGCACGTTGGCATTTTTATGTAGCTAAAAAAACAATTATTATAGGTCAAAATCACTGACTTCAGTATATACCTAGCAAGAACAACGATCTCCTGCTAACAGTGGCGCCGACTAGCGGCAAATATTGTCTCTAGCTAAGTTTGAACTATTAGTCGAAAGACCAGTTAATCTACCGACTCTGGTCGAATCTAGACCAATAGCAAATATTGCACAAACCGTTGAGTTTAAACGTGCAGCGGACCTACTAAAAGCCATTTATTATTTAACGTCTATAAAAATTATATTTATATTAATGATGTCTCCAAAATTCAGCGAATTTTTCGCAAAAAAAAATATCAGAAAGGACGCGAGCGCCATTCGATGACAAGCTCCACGACAAAAACAAGCTTAAGCAATGCGTAGTCGAACGGTGCACACTCGGTAAGTAATCCTACAATTTTTTGTTTATAGCATAGTTTATATGGATTATTCCCACAAAATTATACGTATTTTGGAAATGTTGAGTCGAATTAGTCTGAATCGATTAGTTTTATGGAAGAAACCTTTAAAAACAGCCGTAGTCCGTAAACTGCATACGTGCCGGGCTGTGATTGGCTGGACTCGTAGAAATGGATTCATAAAAACCGGAACGTATCTACCGTGTTATAGGGGGGTCGACTTAGGCCGGATGGCCGAGCGGTCAAGGTGACAGCCTACCGCTCTGG